TGATCAAAATGAAGGTAAAGATACGAATTTAGCCATGAAAGCGGTAGTGACGATTATAAAGGATAGAGACTTTCCCGCAGAGGCAAAAAAGCAGAATGTTAATAGTTCAAGAAAGTCTAAAGGCGTGAGAACTGATGTCAAGAATGTTGATTCTTATGATTTAAAAACTGGTTCAGAGCAAAATGACAGTTACGACAATAATGAAGTTAGCGAGAATGATGATAACAACGAGATTAACCTCAGTCAACAAGATCAGAATGAAAGTGATAATGAATCGTCCAAAGTGAAATGTAAAGCCAAAGACACATCTAACATTAAAAAAAATCAAGTAATTAATATTTATTAATGTATAATTAAAACAAAACTCTAATTTAACTTAAACATTTTTTTATTGATAACACATAAGAATTCTGAACGTGAGTCGATTTTCTCCTTGTGGGACAAGACTGTTGTAAAGGATGAACCTTTTGCTAATACTGGTAATGCAGCGTCAACCTTTTTCAATATTATGAATAAATTAATAACAATTACGTAATGTCATTTTTGCATCCAGCATTATATAATTTAATTTGTAGGAGACAAGTTCGTTGACTAATTTATATTTGTTCTGTAAAGCCATTTTTAAATTTATATAAACGACAGAAAAGAACGACAGGCCAACAAAGCAAGTTTCTACTAGAGAAAAATTTGATTCTCAGGCATCGGAATCTAAAGAAGTACTTTCCATTTTTTGTTTTTTTTTTAATTTTTCCTGAAAAATCCTCCCCTTGCGTTCAAAAATGACTAGTGCATATCTGTCTTCATTCAACCAAATGAATTTGTCCTTGTGGCTATTCAAATTAGATTTTAAGTATCAAATTAAGGAATATAATATGCTTTCTCCACATCACAAAAAAGTTGTGTGCACAAAAAATAATTACAACTGTGCTTGTGTGTGTGTGTGTGTTTGATTGATTGATTGATTTGTTGCTAATTGATTGATTTGTTACTGATTGATTGATTTGAAGTTGGTTGATTGATTGTTTGTTTGATCATTTTAATTTTAAATGCTTCTGCGTTTTGTGTGACAGCTAAAATTAAAACACGCTAAATCCAAGAGTTCAAATTACAGTAGTATCTCTATGTAATCACAAAAAATAGTAGTGTTCATAATAAAAGTTGTACTTCTAGGATTTCCATAACATAACCAGACGGGATGAGTGGAATTTGAATGATTAGAAGATTTTATGGTTCTAATGTGAAAATTGAAAATGTTTTACATGATAATATGAAACCATAAAGATAGTTATGAGTAAGAACTAGATCATACGAAGATGAAGTGAACAAATATTAGGCTAGATTACCAAATAAAAATGCGTAAATTTGAACTGATTCTAAAATGAGTTTGGTGAACACGAAGTTGTTGAGAATTTGAAACTCTGATGTGGATCGATGATTTGTTTTTTAATTTGTTTTGAAATTTGTTTTGTTTGCTTGCTTGCCATCCGATCTTCATTCATATATCACCTTCATAATTCAGCCAACCGTTAAAGTAAAGTCTGTAGAAGGAAGTAAAAAATCTCCAGCTGCTCAGTCACTTTCAAATAAAACAAATGAAAAACTTAAGCAGGTATCAAATAATTTTTCGTTCAGTTTGGTTCAGACTGTTTTATATAGATTTAATTTTCTGAAATTTTTGGAAACCAACAACTGTTTGTGCGGTCAACCGTTATTTGAATCAAATTCAATGTCGTATTGTTGGTCTGGTTAAGTTGATATATAATTTTCAAACAAAAATTTTTTATAAATTAATAGAACGAAAAATAAATCGACTAATAAATGAAAATAATAAATCGACCATTAAATAAAATTTCTACTAACGCACAGGTCAACAAAACTTCTCTAGCCAAAGCTCCGAGTTCATCAGATAAGAACGTTAATCTAAAGACAGCAAGAATCGACTTAAATACTAGTAGCACTAACGAATCAGATTCAAAATCTAAATCCAAAACAATATCCCTATCAGCTTTCGTGAAAGGAACTTCTAAAAAGGGGGGTAAGACCTGCAGAGGACCTGGATGTGAGAAACCCGTGCCCTCTAATCAGAAATCCCTCTACTGTTCTAACGCCTGTCTCGATAAATATGCTCTTTATTGCATTCAAATCATTACTCAAGAAAGGTCAATACTTTTATTTAGAACTTTATCCTAATTTTAAAAAAATAAATTATTCAAGAAAATGCTTTTGCCCATCAAAATCTAAAATTATTAATTTGTCAACATTTACTCGCAAACCATAATAACCTCTAAATTTAAAACACTAAAGAGTCCGCTTGGGACACAAATCAGCTGATTACAGCAACGACAGAGTTGTAGTTCTTGAGAGACAGACGGGTAAAATATTGACCGGCCCGATGGCTCCCACCGAAAAAACACTGGCTGCCTGGCTGTTGAGACATCCATCTTTTGAAGTCATGCTTTCAATGAACAATCTCCAGGAACCTGCTGCTGTTGAAAGTTTGTTTTATATGCTTTTATTGCGTGTCGAAGCCGCTTATATATGGAAGTTGATCAGTCACTGTTTATAATCGTTTGCTATTAAATTTTTTTTATTAATCAATCGTTCTATTTTGTTATTCAGTTTTTAACAAAACGCATTGTTGAATATCCCTAATTACTTTCCAAACTCTACACTAGAAGAAGCAAAGAAAGCGACGATGCAGTCAGCTGCAGAGAAGAAGCAGCCCACCACTCTTCTCGACAAACCACCAGACAGTTCTGATTTAACTAGAGATATCAAGTTGATGACTGCAAAGTTCACCAATCAAAAGTCTACAACATCCCAGGTAGCAAGCAATCCCAAAGTTGGTCTCAGTGCTGCTTCGTCCAGTGGCAAGGGTCCCGATCCAACTCGTATATCCGTCAGGAATGTATTGAGAGAGTCTCTTTCTAAAAGGTGCTGAGTCTTGCTCTTCATCAGTTGTTAAATTTTTTCTTTTAAGCTACCCAGCCACTAGAAAGAAAGACTAGACCTCTGATACTTCTGGAGCCCTTTAGTTGTTAATTAATTTTTGAACATCAAAGTTTAGTGCAGGATAGAAATATTAATTATTCATTTGGGTCTTATTGGTTTGTAATTAACTGAAAGATTATCGACAATTATCACTTATAATGATTGATATATCGTTTATCATTCACAATGATACTCTATCACTACTACTTACATTATTAAAAGTATTCAATAAAAAAATCCTTAATGTAAACTTTTTATGTCATATCCAATCAGAGCAAACAATTGCGATGACGTCATGGTTTCAGCAAATGAAATCAAATCCCTAGCCATGGATATTGAAGAGAGTATGTTTGCAGCATGTGATGGCGTGACGTCTAAATATAAATACAAGTTCAAGGCTATCATCACCCAATTAAAAGATCCCAATAATAAAGTCTGTTTACTTATTGTGCTGTTAACAAATATTTCCTGAATTTTTTTCATAATTTATTAAAGTAATGTTTATAACAACATAGTATATTTGCCGCTTATACCTGCAGGGTTTTTTTCGACGACTGCTGTTTGGGGAGCTTCAACCTCAGCCGCTGGTGCAGCTGTCCAATGAGAAGATTGCTTCGAAGGAGCTTGCTGTCTGGAATGAAGATTCCACGATGGTATGTGCATTATTCCTTCGTTCGTTTGTTCAGATTTTTGAAGACGTTTTAGCACGTTTCCGACTATCTCTGTGCTATTATTCAAGAGTACTTTTTCGCTATTATTATTTCTATTGTTTTTATTGATCGTTTTAATAGTTGTAAGGTTTTTCTGATCAGGCAAACTTTTACTAATCATGACGTGAAGAAAGATTTAATATTCTGACTATATTTTTTGATTCATTTAATATTCTGATCATTATTTTATAGTTTCATTGATTATTTATTGTTGCAGGCAGTTCTTAATGCACCGGAGATCAGTCTCTCTGCTGCTTCTTTAGAGGTCTTTTGCTTACTTGTTACTATGTTTTCGTTTTCATCTATTCACACTTATGTTATATGTTAATATAATTGAGTGAAATATTGTAGCTGATGTACATGGTTAAATATTAATGCTTATGATTGTATAGAATGAAGTATTCATTCTACGATTTTATCTGTATTCATTTATTAAATATGATTAAATTTCATTTATATCTTGTCTTCTAAGCTTTTATGAATATAAATTTGCTATTATTTATTTTATGTTTAAAATTGTGTCTGCCAATGATAACCACTACAGATCAACAAATCGCCACAGCACCAGCAGCAACAGCCACCGCAACAGCCACCGCCACCAGTGTTTGATATCCTGGCGTCGCTAGTTGTATCAGACACAACTCATCAACACGGCATGCACTTCTTTGATATGAACTGCCAGATATGCACTGGTAAGGTGCCAGATCCCAGTTTTTACAACAGCAGCAGTAGTAGCAGCAGTAATAGCACAAACATTCATAACAACAACAGTGCCAATACTAATGCAAGCAACAATGACTCGTCTATAATCAGTTCTCCTCCGCCATCACAACAACAACCTTCCAAAGTACAACCATTTGCTCAACAACAACACTTGAAACCAACAACTAAAATTCAATCACCAACGGATCTACATATGCCTCAAGCTCCATCACTATTGCAACACCAGCAACAGCCGTACCTACCAACACCACAACAGCAGCAGCAACAACAGCAGCAGTATGTTAGACCACCCATTAAATTGCCATTGCTGCCTACTCCTGGCGCTCCTAATGTTTCCATGTTGGCATTTTTATTACTTGTGTTAAATTGTACACTTTTCTTGTTTGCCTCATTCCAATTCATATGATTTATATATGTGGTTTATTTAACAATTGATTTTAAACAATGAATTCGAAAGGTTTTTGGCATTCAAGACAAATTTTTTTAAAGTTCTAACTATATTATCATGATAATTCTTTTTCTTTCACAGACGATTCTCTACAAAACCTTCAACAGTGCTTCCAGCTAAACCCTCACCTCAAATCCATCACCACCAACAACAACAACAGCTGCCACAGCAAATGCCACCGCAAATGCAACAGCTGCCACCGCAAATGCAACAGCTGCCACAACAAATGCAACAGCTGCCACAATTACCATCATCGCAGCAGCAACAGCAGCAAGAGAAAGAAGCAGTATCATCATCTTTAGCATCGAGTGAAGTTGCGATGCTTACGAGCCATGATGATGATGATGAGACAGTTTGGACAGGAACCATATTTGCCAACGAGATAACTTCAGTCAAAGTTGATACAATGCTGGTGTCTGGATCGCTATCATCGTCGTCTCCATCAAACTCATCATCACTGAACAAGTCAAAGTCATTACTTATAGAGGTTAATCAACTTATTCTTTCATTTTTATCATTTTATTATCTGTTTGGTTAATGTATATTTTTAAGTTTAGGTTTTTTCTCTTCTTTAATGTCACTGTCCATTATTTTTATTGAATGTTACCACCAAAAGCATTCAATTAAATGTTTTGTTGTTAATAATTACAATAATTAACTTATTAAAATTATAATATTTGATTAATTATATTCATTAAATGTTTGTAATAACTCAGCGAAAAAAAATAATTACAAATATTGATAACTACAACTAACACCCAGCGATTTGGTGTTTTTCCTGAATAAACACTTTGTTAAATGTTCTGAACTGAATTATGATCAATTGCATCAGGACTTGCCTGAGATCATCAACATGACAGGCAGACTGCATCCAGAGAACATTTCCACGTTCATTGGACAGTTGAAAAATTCTGGAAAGATGTTTAAGGTTTTGATTGGTTGATTGTAAATAATTCGTTTATAACGAGTTCAGTTCAGTTTTTTTTTGTTAGTCCCTCAATTAAATTCATGAACTAACTTATGTTTTTGCTATTTCTATTTTTTTCAAATGCCTATTTTCTATAAAAAACAAAATAGGATGTCGTAGTTGTCTACTTTCTGCCTGTCAATCAACCGGAAGAGAACTTTTACAACTCGTTGTTCAACTACCTCAGCAATCGAAACAGGTTACTCGTTGTTTGTTCGTCAATTTATGACGGGAGCTTGCTAGAGTCTTGTCGATAGTGATGAATCTGTTTTTATCATTCAAATCATTCTCATGTCTTGGTGCATTTTTCGAAACTAAGCTAAACTAACTACTAACAAATCAGGTGTGGAGTTGTGACGTTTGCAGGCAAAGGAGGTGTCGGAAGGGTGAAGGACTTCTACATTCTTCCACTTTCCGCCAACAGCATGCCTCCTTCAGTTTTTCTACCATTCGATGGTCCAGGTACTCTTATCACAAATTACAGATTAATCTTACAAATTGAACGATTTATTAGTTCGCATTCGTTATTTTAACATAATATCTTGACATAATAATAATAACAAAATGATATTTTTTAATTATTATAAATTGATAATTTAAATGCCTATCGTAGGATTGCCAGTAAATAGAGGGAACCTCCTACTCGGTATTATCATTAAACACTCTGTCAAAACTCCGATTTCATCGTCATCCTCTGCAACCAAACTGCAGAAAAATGCACTGGCTCCGTCAACAGACGCTAATACGGTTAGTTGCTGATAATTTATTACATATCTGTACATTTTCATAAAATTATAAAGAAACAGACATGTCAATGTAAATTAGGTAGAATGTAATTTTTTTTGAGAGACGACAATGTGCCACCACACCATCTTGCGTTTTGGCTGAAACTTCACTGCTGCCAAATGCCACAATGACATAAGATAAATGTTTCAGTGAAAGATTTGGGAGGGTGATAAGACCAAAATGCTTGAGATTTTTGGCCATTTTTTAAAAAAGTTAGAGGAATATTCAGAAAATGCAAAGTTTTGAAATTGGCGAAACAAGAAAATTTTTACATTTGGTTGATTTAAAATGTTAATAGTGTTACCTTGTTTTTTTTTTTTAATTCAAAACGTTATTTTAAAAAACATTTGGTAGGCTCTTGTAAAGGAAGCTGTTCAAAATTCAGAAAACAAAGTAAACAATGAAATAGGAAATAACAATAATGACGATGATGAAGAAGATGATGACGATGATGAGGAGGATGAAGAGGAAGACGATGACGATGAGGAAGATGATGAAGATGATCTAGCAGAAGAGCATCATGTTATTTACAATCCACTGAATAGCCGAAAATCTGTAGCTGCGGAATCGACGACGACATCAACAGCTACTGTCGCAACATGTGTAGAACCGGCCAAAACTTCACTGATGCCAACATTGACAACATCTGCACCTGCAGCTTCAAGCGACTTGTTCAATAGCGATTTAACTGCATCAGTGTTGAACGCATTATCAGCGGCCTCCAGTGGCAATGTTACCAGTTTGGAAGAGCAAAAGTTGCTACTACTTGAACTGACAAAAAAGATAAATGAACAAAAAGCAGTGCTGCTGAAACAAGAGCAACAGTTATTGAAAAAAAGCGTGGTTGACTCCTATGTGACTGGTGATAATAGCGAAACTAATAAAGATGAGTATATTCCACAAAGCAAAGTCTTGTCTACATCGTCAAAATTAGCAGCGTCCACATCGTCAACAACAACAAATGATGTTCTGTACACAATTACCTCACCGGTTACTGATTTCACTAGTACTGTAAAGTCAGTTTACATACCTTCATTTAATGTGAATGAAACATTTTACAAGAAGAACTTGCTTCCCATCAGCCCTCCCTCCAACTTACCAGCTGAGTCTAGGCTGAGCCATATTACTGGATTGAACAAGGAAAAGGAAGCATTAACAAGTGTTACTTCTACATCTGTTGATAATTTAATAAATTTTGTTACAAATAAAAATATATCACCTGGTGTTGTCAAGTCAACAGGTGATACGGTTTCATCCGTAAGTTCAACGTCTGTTACAATTGGAAGTTCAGTAACTACAGCAACAGTTCAGTTTGAATCGCCTTCAACTTTTTCTAGTATTCAAAGTAATTTGTTTGCGAATCTACCGCTTTCAATTAATCAACTGTTGACTGCTGAGACGTTTAAAAATCTTAAAGATATTGTTGCAAATGTTTCTCTAAACAAGATCAGTTCTGCATCAACTTGCACGGCGTCATCTACACCAGCAGCCTCAGTAGCAACATCAGCTATTACAACAGTAGAAACAATAAACATTAACAATAACGGCGATAATGATAGAAATAATAATGAAGCAAACAATCAAGAAAAATTTTCAACTGACTTTCCCCGTGACATAGACTACAGAAATATTATTCCCAAGCTGCCTGACTTACCTTCTTCTATGGTGCCGTTTCCTCCTCCCATGCATATGAAGCCACCGGTTCCTGCATTCATGAACGTACCAAGACCTCCTCCACCTCCATTCCTCATGAACAGATTCTCCATGCCTCAAAGAATGCCACTAAGAATGCAACAACAGTTGGGTCTACAACAAACTTTTACACAGGGGCCAGATTTTGGGCCACAAGTGCAGCCTCAACAGAGCCAACCGTTGGCACAATTTCAACGTCCGCAGATGAGCGTCAATCAACCTCCAAAGAAAGGTGCTTTGTTGGCAACTCCAATATTCACCACTGAATCCGATAATACTGCATCCATAAATGATACAAATGTTAACTCAAACTGTAAAGATTACAATACAAAGAACTCCTCGACTGCAAAAGGTCAATCAGAAGAAAAATCTAAATCTCCGGAAAAGGTCTGGAAACCTTTGCTGCCCAGGCAAAATATATCTAAAGATTTAAAAAAAAAATCACGAAGTAGATCAAAAGATAGATCAAGAAAAACGAGTCCAAGCAGAGACAGAGATAGAAGAGAAAGGCGAAAAACTAGGAGTAGATCTCGAAATAGAGAAACAAGAAATAAAAGAGAAAGCAGTTCAGAAAGAACTGCTGATAATAAAAGAAAAAATATTAGACCAAATTCAAGAGACAGAAGTTCAAAAAAAGATTTGGGACATGAAATTGATGAAAAAGTTGTTAAAAAGGAATCCGAGACTGATGACAAAAAAAAGAAACAAAATGAAAAAGCGGATGATGATGTAGAATTTGTAAAAGAAGAAAGAACACAGGTCAATTCTGTCATAGAAATTGATGAAGAAGAAGAAGGAGAACTGAATGAAAAAGAGAGTGATTCCAATAAACTAATAACAAAGAAGTCAAATTCCACAACTTCAACTTCCACAACCAACCAAGGTTCAGAGAAACTATCTGGATCGAATTCCAGATCACGTTCCAAAGATCGTTCCAAGAAGTCCTATAGAAGATCTAGATCTCGATCGAGAGAAAGAAAAGATAGAAGAGAAAGATCAAGAAATAGTGGAAGATCTAGTAAAGATGATAACGATGCTCGAAACTCAAATAAAATAAGAAGGGGAGTTGTTGAAAGTAGGAAAAGATCAAGAAGCCGATCACCGATTCGTAGTAGAGGTAGTAATTCAAAAATTGATATCAAGTCTTTGCCAAACAATTTACCTAACATTTTTCCATCCTTATTGCAAATGGTATCAGGAACAAAAACTCAACAGTCTAATAAATCAAACGAAAGTGAATCGTCAACGAACGATAAACAGTCAACTGAAATTCCTTCCCTTTTGGATATGTTAGATCCTAACATAATTCCGTCAAGATTTAAAAGCAAACCTGCCAAGTCTGAAACAGGGAAAAAAGGTTTATTAGGTGACTTTCCCACTGTGCAGCCTCTTATAAAGCCTCCAGAAGACAAGAAAGATGATAATCTCCTTGATTCAATTACAAAAAACTTAGCTATATTGAGGAAGGAGTCAGAACAAACAAGCGATCAGCTAAATGTTCAAAATATTCAGCAATCATCGCCAGACTTTGGCTCATTCGACCAGGTGAATAACAGATTTTCAGGACCCGGTGGTCCATCCACTCAGCAATTTCAAATAAATCCCAATTTTAGGTTCCAAAGACCTGATATGATGTTTGAAGGAAGACCTCCATTCCCACCTTTTCAACCGAGAGGAAATTTCAGACCTGATTTCAATATTCAAAGATTCGACAGACCTATGTTTGATAGATTCAGACCAGATCAGCCATTTTCAAAAAATGATTTCCAGCAGCCTGGTGGCGAGGGAGCAATGGGTAAAAGCAACTCTCTTTTGCCAACCCCTCCTAAGTCACTTGAAGCAGCGAACGAATCAAGAAATTTAACCGAAGCAAAGCAGGATAAGAATGTAGATGACAAAATTAATGATGGAGGACTAAACACAAAGCCGAGAGATGAATGCCAAGGCAAAACACCTGTAAGTTCTGCGAATTTATCGGTACCATCTATGACTATGCCCCTTCCGTTTCTCCCGAGAATAAACAGCGATAATAATAACAACAACAATAATAATAACAATAATAATAATAATATGCCTTCGCAAATGATGATGATGATGAGAATGCAGTCTTTCCTTCAAAGACCTATGTTTGCTTCCGGCAACAATTACAGACTGCCCTCACGCCCACCTTTTATGCCACATCAAAACCACTTTCATTCCCGTTAAATCAATTAAATAGCATAATTTTGTTTGTTCTTCTTTGACTGAGGTTCATAAAATATTTATGTATATTTTTTTCTGTATATATGACTGATATATGTCTAGACAGGCTCAAGAAATAAAATGAATGGAATAGAACATTTTGATGGAAAATGAAAAAAATATTTGAAATGTATTTTTATGTATTTATAAACTTGTATTTTTGTTTTACAATAAAAAATAAAACAATGGAAACGTTGTTTAACAACTTCAAAGTAGTGCAATTGAAAATTAATGCTGAAAGACAGCGTCAGTGTAAGATTTTATTCATACGAGAGAGGTTCACGTTTCCCCCGTCTTCATGTCGTCAATGATTTTCTTGATTATTGCAATATCGTGGTGTGTCGTAGTGCAACAACCACCGATCCATTTTGCACCGGCCGTTACCCATTTGGGAACATTAACATGCCATTGTGCTGTTGATTTGCTTGGGTCCCAACTTAATTAAACAATTATTATTCAATTAAGCTTTTATTTTCTTGATGTTTTTTTAATTTAATACCTTCCGTCATTCATCCATTCACTGCCTCCATTTGGATAAGCAATGAGACAAACATCATCTCTTAATGTTTTGTTCATTTCAATTTTCATTTTACTCAGTAAGTTTTCAACATATTCAGGTTTAGTGCAATTGATGCCAAGGCCAATTAAGTTGTTCTTTCTCGGTTGGGTTCTTAGAATTTTATTAACAACATCCTCAGCTGTATCCGAGTGCCATGTCTCTTTGTCATCCTGCAGTAACAAAAATGTGTCTTACTGTTAGAAAAATTGCATAACTTTAAATCTGTATTATAAAATTTCTCAGGGAAAAGTTTGAAGACGGGTTAAAAAGAGATAATAATTTTTTTACTCTCACTTTAAAATTAAATGATATGTAGAATTTAGAATACGGATATTCCTTCATTAACTGAACAATAGCCAGCGGTTCCTTCGCTGTAGTAAATGTTTCAAAAGCAATGATATCGGCTCCAGCTCGACATACTGGTTCAAGCTGCAGCTTGTGCCAGTTTTTCAGTTGCTTGGGACAATAGTTTACAAGATTAAAACAAGAACCATCGAAGTTGATAAAATTTTAAATGTTACTTCAATGGACATGGTATCTACGTAACTTCCAGAATACTCAGACCGGTTTGACAGAAAAGCTCCATAAGGTCCTATAGATCCGAGAACTTTGATTTCATCCGATTTTTTCTCTATTTTGAGTAAAAAAGTTTAAAAAAGTTTTTGTTCTACATTTGTCAAAAAAATACAACTTTACTGGTGGCCCAAAATTTATCTCTTGATTGCAAGCAGAGTTTGACTCCCTTTTCGATCAGTTCCTCAGCTTCTGTGACAGAAACACCACAGTGCTTCACGAAACCTTCCACAGTTGCCTGATATGTGCACGTTTCTATCAAGTCCGCTCCTGCTTCAAGATATCTGGAAATTTTAATGTAGACGTTTGAAAAAAAATGTTTCTATTTAAATTGCATTATTGTCTGGTAACATGTTAACTTAACATCGAATATTTTATTTGCCAAAATAATTAATGATATTTTTGATACAGTTTGCAATGTCAGGGATGGGCAAACTTTTTGCTTTGAGGGCCGCATTGAGAACTATTTTACCTTTGAAGGGTCGCATATGTACTTGAAAAGCAAATTTTTTCGACCAGGGAAAGAATTTTTTTAAGATTTGTAGCTCCTTATTTTGGTCATAATGTCAGGCTGACGACTTATTTTTGGCGAACAAGGCCTCGTGGGGCACATGCGGCCCACGGGTCGTAGTTCGCCCACCCCTGATATATGTTATTTAATCTTTGATTGAAATGTTTACCTTATATGTGCTGCAACAATATCTTGTGGATTGGTTAGGATAACTCTGGCACCCCATAAAGGGTCACCCTTAAAAATAAAAGAAATCATTTAAAAGTTGATAACATCAGCCAAGTTGATGCCAATAAACACTTACTACTAAATCATATACAATATATAAACAGTGAACCTGAACATAGCATCAGTAAAAAATAAAATGACAGACAATGGATTTGAAAGTATGCTTATATGTGAATTATTGTAAACATAATTATCTGTGTATAAACTATGTTTGAATTGAAAAGTAATGAAAAAATAACATTTTCACAGATCTTTGCATGTATGTTTGTAAACTGAATTCATTGATTCAAGAACTTCACATTATTGTGAATAGCCAATTTACCAGGGCAAGGTTATTTCAAATCTATGATACAATGCAATAGATTTTTTAATATGGTTGTTATAAAAATATAAAATCAGTACATGGAGCTTTCTAATAGGTAGTCTTAATACATTAATTCGTACGACTTTTTTTAAACTTTTGTGTAGATTCTTATGCAATCATTTCATTATAGCAGCTAGGATTTCCTATCTTGTAAAATTTTAATAATATTTGATAACAAATGGTTCATCTTATATATATACTTTTCATTCATTTACTTATTTAAGCAAAAACCGTCAAATAAAAGCTAAAGAGAGTGTGTATGTCCTGTTAAAAATACCTTTGGAAATTAAGAAAGAATATAATAAATTTATATGAATGTACATACATAGTAAGAGTACATACATAAAAATTGACCTATAGAAGCAAGTTTCAAGTATTATAAGTTTGTCTTAGGTTTATCCATATTTTTTGATATTTTTAATCTATTTATGTATATCTTAGCATGTTGATATAAATAGATCAATCCACACCCATACTAGAGTAGATATAATTATATACAGTTAGGTGCTTATAAATCCCACAATACGGTTTTATATAAAAAAAAGATACATTGATTTCAGGGTGATTGAATTCCTCAATGAGAAGAGTTGAAAATCCCCCATCCATAACTTTGGCTTCTTCAAACGAACGCGAATCAGCCATCGAACGAGTTCAAAAATAAATAATAAAACAAATAAACACAGGCTCCTCCCGTTAGAAAATTCACTTGGTCGGACATGTGCTGATTTTTATCTAATTTAAATCTTCTTACATGAGTTCTTACATTGAATAAGAGTTGTATCCATGGATATATATATTATATATGGTTGTATCCGAATTCAAACATTATACATCGAAGAATAATTAATGAACAAAAGTGACATATGTTTGCGTAGCTGCAAATTTCAACAAGCAATTTTGCAATCATGAACACAACATTTATGGATTTATTATATACAACCATTACCATCTTCATAGAATACAACTCATTGGTAACATAAGTTCAAAGGCAACTATCATATCATCAAATACTCGTCATTTATGACAGATTGTAAATGAAATTAATGACTGTAACTGATATGAATAAAATTTTCACAAGAATCATTTTTTATGATGCATTTAAATTATCCTGACTTATAAAAGTTTTAAAAGTTATCAAAATTCACTACATCTATAACATAGAGCTAATAAAAACATACTTTAACAAGTTTAACATGCATACATAGATAATACATAAATTATTAAACTGTCGCATCTTTGCTCCTTGTTATCGTATTTACGTTTTCGTTGGATTAGATAAAGAAGGTTTGTTATATTTATTTAGTTTGCGTTGTTTTGAGATTGTTTTTTTAAATTATTTTTATTCATGATTGTACGGTTTTTCTAATCGAATTGTCAAGTTAAGATTTAATTAATTTTTCGGTTACGTTGTTTACGACTACCGTTTTTTTTTATTTACTCTTCTTTACTTTTTTTTAGTTTTTAACTTTTTAAGTAGTTGAGTTTATTTTATTTTATTTATTTATTATTTAGTACTTTGGTGTTGTAAAAACATTTTACAACTTTTTACTAAAAAACGGTTGTAAAAAATTTAAAGCATTCGTAAAAGACATATATATATATAACGTAAATTATTACTACTTACCTTCTTAATACTTTATTTAATAATTTAATTTTAATCTGGTGCTGCTTGTTGAAATTGAAGTGAACTTTAAAAATTGAAAAGTTTAACTTTTAACAACAATCAAAGTTAACAGTTTAGTTTTATATTTAGTTGGTTTAATTAAAAATTAACCATTTTGTAATTTAAATAAAAATAATTATTGGCATCTATTGAGTTTTTGGACAGAATTTTATTTAGTCTCTCATTGCAGGCTGTTAGTTTAAGTCTTTAAGACATGAAACGCCGCCAGATCATTCCCAAACGAAAGCCAATCGTTCAATTGGATGATGAACCTCGCACTAATTACGGATTTGGTTTTAAATCAGTAGATTTAGGTAGTAAATATGAATGTCTGCCACAACCTCAACAAAGTAATTTTTATTTTGAAATTTCTTTATTACATTTTGTTTTGTTCAAATTGGAAACTTCGGTTATTGAGGTAGTCAGTAAAAAATGTTTTGTAATTTTATATGATTTAATCAAAGATTGCTATATTGTTACAATAGATTATTATTATAAGTTTTCATGGAAATTTGTAATATTAAACAAAACTTGATTTTTTAAAAGATGCTGCCAATAAAAATGCTTTGTCTGGCCTGTTCAGTCAGTACAGCCAGGACTCAGATAATGATGATGATGAGGAAGAAGATGATGATGGAAAAGTTTCCCGAAAGGAAATTCTCAAAAATGCTGATTTTACTTCCAATAAATCCGGTATGATATAAATATAAGATTATTCAAGAACAATTTATTTATTTTCATTAATATTATTATTGAAAAGAAATAATTTCATAATTTTGTAAACAGTATGTTGTGGATTTATTTGTGACTTAATGGAATTAATTTTTAATTTAGAATAGTTTTTAAATTGTTTTTTTCAGTTACAAAACCCAAGTCAATGGGTGATATTGTGAGTTTTGTTCGAGCTACAACCGACAGCCCGTCCAGTCAGAAAGATGATTCCCCGATCAGTGATGTGCCTCATCCTGTTGTAGACAGTGGACCTCCTAATTTGCCATTGACATCGAATCTGAGCATCAAACCAATTGATGAGATCGACTCCAAGTTGCTCGATTTCTTTGCTGTTAGTTTATATTCTTTTTTAAAATATTTTTTTTTATTCATCATTGATTAATATTTTAGTGTGGAGTAGGTTAATTTTTGAGTTGTAAAAGACTAGGTGCAAATTGGTAACTAACTTATTCATTTGTTTGTTTTTTGACAGGAAATTGAATCACTGGATACTCCAGCGGACACAAACAAGAGTGAAGTAGACACCCTTCAAATTGCCACCACCATAAAAAGTGATGGCAACGAGAAGGAACTTCAAAAATCAAATGCAGTCAAAACTGAACGGATTAATTCACCAACTAGAAACGATGATATAAAAAATGGCATTCCAACAGAGACCAACAATTTGAAACATGAACATGGTAGATCAATTGTTGGTGGTGGTGGTGGTGGTGATGGTGGTGTAGTTCAGGATTGCCCTCCACCTCCTCCTCCCAAACCTCAGCTTCCACAAGGTTTTATTTTCTGCTTTTCAATTTCAATTCAGTTCTCATAAATATTATTTCACACAGCACAACATGTGAACACAATTCGCAACTAACCCACAACAACAACAACATCACAATTACCAACATTAATTAATAGCATCAGCATTCACATAACACTCACTAATCTAAAATCCAAATAACAATTGCACAGAGCCGACATGTGATTGGCAGGCAGTGCTCGACGACAACACCAACTGTTACTACTATTGGAATGGAATGACAGGTGAGTCGAGGTGGGACATCCCGGCTGAGTACTCCCAGTTCCTCCTGCTCTATCGGGAATATGAAGCCAGCGTTGCTAAGTTTGAAGCTGACATGCTAGCTTGGAAGCAGTGCCAAGAAAAGTATCAAAAGTTTGTTTTTGTTTGCTGCTTTCTTCAAGTTGTTTAATTTTTTATTAAATGTTTGCTTAAAATGCTGCTCATGCTAGCAATGCCTGGATCAATTTCATTGCTGTTGTAAGTATTTCTGTAAATTTGGCTACACTGAAGTTTTTGTCTGGGCCCTCCTCAGTTATTTACACGAATGGTAGTGTGGTGTTTGCCTGTTGGCATGTTTCATGGCATGATGTTCATATAATGGTATGCTAATTTAACAATACCTTCCAATGATATCTTACAGGTACTGTAACAGCCGAGGGATAACTTATTCAGCATCTGGTGAACAAGCTGAAGGGAGCAAAAAAGACAATACTCCTGCTCTTGCTAATAACAATAAGAGTGTCGTTACAAACAAATGTAACGGTAACGTTGGCACCAGCACCAGCAACTCTAAGAAGAGCGTAGCATCTCTTGTTCCATATAACAGTTTCATAGATGATGATGATGAAGATGATGAAGATGATGATAAGAAAAAGGAAAATGCCTGCATTAAGAAAGATAGCGGAGATGACAAACGTGATGTGAGGATGGGTGTCGAGGATGTTTCAACAGCCAAGGTTTGTAGTCACTTCACTTAGTTGTGTATTTCTTTACTTTGTCACTTGATACTTAACTTGCTTACTGACTTTTGTCAGATTGGTTTCATATTTATTTATACGATATGATAAATTATTTCTTTAATTGAAAAAAAATTGCTTGAAAACTTTGTGAAATGTTTCTCCACTCTTTAGAAAAGAAAGCATGACTCATTAGATACTGACGATGATCATAATCAGCAACGTCGACGAGGTTATGATAATGATATCGACCAACAACAACAGAATTTTTTGAAGAAAATCAAAAAGTTTAAACAAGGTATGCACATTTGATGATGTACTGTGTGATTGATTTAATGCAACTTGTACTGAAAATGTGATGGTTGCAATTTGTACTGAAAATGTGATGGTTGCAATCAATTATATTATATATATATTAATATATAATAACAATAATTAATAAACTCAAAAAATTTTGATAATGCTTACAGATGATCTTGTTCAACATACAATTGACGGTGAGAGTCTTTTTGTGATTTCGGACGATATCACACATGGAATCAGACAATTGGTTTGTATTTTCATCCAGTTCACATCAATTTTTTTTAAATTTGTATGCACATATTAATTAATATTTATTGTACGTGTTATCATATTGTTATACCTTGGTATTATTTCCATTATTTTAATTTTAGATTAATATATAATAATTTATAAACTCAAAAAAAGAGATTTAGATTTGTCAAATATTTGAAAGGTTTTTAAATCCAATAACATTTATATTGTTTATAGTATTTATGGCCAAACTCTTAAAAAATTTAATTGTTTGTAATTTTGAAAGCCTGATGCTTTCAGCATATGTAGTATGTATTGTATTAACAATGTTATATTTTTCATTTTTACTTCAGGAGGAAGTGTTTAGCCTGTCGTCTGAGATGCAAAAATTAGTTAACCAGTTGAGTTCCGATGTGTCATCACCGTCATCATCGTCGTCATCACCAATGCATCTACTCATTAAAGTTCAGGTAGAGTTTGTCAAATGTTTGAATTAAATAAAATTTATTTTATTTATAGTATTTATGGCCAAACTCTTAAAAACTTTTAATTTTTTTAAAAGTTGTTTGCCGTATCAAGAAAATTCTAATTTATGATTAGTTGTCGGAAAATTTTGAATTAATATTTAAAAAGTGTTATTTGATACACGATTCATACTGAGATAAGAGAAAGCAAAATAGATATCATAATTGAGAGATATCATGCTTTCTGTAGCACAATGTGTATCATTAAATAGATTTGGTTAGGTCTTTGTGGTAATTTTTAGGTAGAACTGTTTATAAGCACTCCTGCTTTGTCTATACTTTTTACTGAGAGATAAAACGAATAATGTTACAAGATTTTAAATATGCTCTATAAACTGTTAATTGATTCAGACAAGGATTGAAGATTGGAGATCAGGCCAGCTGAACATTAATTACCTGCTCACCAAGTTGAGGGAATCATACGAAGAACTGTTAAAACTGCAGCAGCAGCAGCAACAAAATCAAAAGCAACAACACAAGCAACACGATCAGACACCAAAAGAAATGCATCAGAGTTTTGAATTGGTTAATGATCCCATTTACAGACGAAAAAGAGTGCTTTCACCTTCAAATGGCACGAGAAACAACAATGAAGACGTTTCAACAACTGATAGCAGCAAGTGTGTATTTTCTGCTTGTGTTGTTTTGTAATTCTTTCTGTTGTATCTCTTTGTTAACGAAACTGGCTCCTGGGTTAATGGGTCACAAAAATACTAAATAATATTTGGTCCTTGATGAAGTGGATGAAATTGGCTAAAGTTGACCTCAAGTCAGTGATTGGCTAGGATGCTACGTTTTCTTCATCATCCTCTTTCTCATCATCAATGATGTTGCTTCATCACGATGATGTGATGTCATTCAGTCACTGTTGTGATGAAGATTACAAAATGATGATTGGAAGCTGTAGATGAGAGGGAGATGTTTGTTTGGAGACTGCTTAGGTAATTTTATTTTATTTTACCGACCAAATATCTATACTATCTACACATTTTTATCACATGTAGCATTATCTGAAAGTTAATTTCAATAAATTTGATGATATCATTTAAGTCAAAGGTGAACAAAACTCATTATATCCACCATCAAAATGGACTCTATGATGAAAAAGATGTAGAGAAGAGTGCACATGGTGCAAAATTCATTCATCGGCTACAGGGCACGACACAACATTTAAATTTTCGCATTTGTTGCATTGTATTTTAGTAACAATTATACACAAACATGTTTACCTTATATAATATCTTCAAACATTTTCATTGTAGGTCTGCCTGGATTTGATCCCAATGGAGAACACCCTCCCTATCTATTCCCTGCACATCACACCGAACTCATATATATCACTGTACTTGACAACCGCTGCTTATTTATTTGTTCATTATTATTGTTGTATTTTTTCTTACTATTTTTCATTGTTTTGAAAGAGTTCCTAGTTTGTTTGTATTTTTTTTCTACTGTTTTTATTATCTTGGAAGAGTTCATAGTCTGTTTTGAGAAGACAAGGCTTATGATGATGTTTGTTATCATTAGCTAGACTGCGATGTATGACACAATTTTACATTTTCCAAACAGTGATCCCTTACCTGTTGCCGGGTGTCAACCGAATGATGATGATGACTTCAACAGCGAAAGGGACGACGACGACGTTGTTAAGGTTATCATTTTTAAACGTTAAATTCTTTGTACATTTCGTTGCAAACTGCGGCGACCATCGTGCTTCTAAAGCGTACACACTCATTCACAAACACACGCGAACACCAACACACTCCACAGACTGCACACTCCAGTATTGACGTCACTCAATCGCAACCCCCTCTTCCATTATGTGAACTGCCTACTCCTCCATTACCACCTCCTGATTCACCCAACCTATCACATCAGGTTAAAGTCAGCTGATTGCAAAATATATTTTCGCTTGACTTGCTTGTCTTGAATGAATAAATTATGTGATAAATCACGTTTCTTTACATTATGTAAAACTGATTAACTCACTGGATATAATTTCTAGTTTGCTACTGAGGGCAGCATGGATGGTGTGGATGACGACGAAGGTGAAGTTGGCGCCGGTGAGAGTAGTTGTACGATTATTGGACCTTCACTTCCGAAACATTTTCAAATGGCTGCCGGTGAAAGGGAGTTGTCGTCGTCACCACAGCCACCACCAACGTCATCATCGTCGAAAAATGATGATGCAGCTGATGATGGTGACGCATTTTATCATCGCCTACATGACAACGGTGATGATGATAATAACGACGATAACGACAATGATGATAATATGGGGGATGGCAATGCTGGTTGCGTTGATGCTGAATCTGTTGTGACGTCATTATCGTCTCTCCAGACAGAAACACTAGCAAATCATGATGATGACGCTGATACTTCAACTAGTAAGAAGACGAAAAAGAGAGCAAAGGTTATAAATTTTTCCCATTAGTTCATATTCTGGCTCTGTGTTAATGTCAGCTTTGTTAGGCCTATATATATTTATAATTAGTATTTTTAAATAACTCATGTACGCTGACTTCTTGTATGTGGCGACTGACCAACTGAAATAATAAATATCTGATAAATCCGTTCATGCATACTCACTGATATATACATACACAAATAAATGCACACACACACACACACACACACACACACAAACGGATCATACACAAATATAAAACACATGAACACAGGCCCTGACTTCAAGTGGATTGTCTTTGAAGAAAAAGAAAGTGGAATCTTTAGTGGCCAAGTGGAAGAAAGTGGAGAAGGACGTTTCAAGAGAGGTGGAGAAGGAAATGATCAAACAGCAGAAGATTGAGTCGAGGCTTCGTGGGGAGACCAATCAATAATTTTCATTACAACTCTTTGTCTCCTTGTCTGGTTAACAAGTGTTCACACCATTCATTTGTTTCAATTTATGCTGAATTAATTCAATGAAATGATCAAATTTGAGTTCACAAGATATATATGTTCATTGTAAAATAACTTCTGACATAAAAACCAATAAGAATTCTGTAAATGTTGATATTTGGTTGATTTAATTTTTGTTGAAAAAAAACTTTGTTTTTAATAAAAAAATTTAAACTACTTTCTCAAAAACTCAACAAATTATTACAACAAAATGTTCTCGACTATAGCAGGAAACTACATTTGCATAGATCGAACAAAAGAAATTAAAAATTACATTGTTAAGTAAAGAGGCTAAAAACGATAATAACAATTAAAATTTTCTTATCAACAAGAACAAATAATAATCTACGGCCTATTTTTGAACAAAAAGTCATCAACATTGGACCATAAGTTACTATCATGATATAAATAAGTCATTGATGACTGCAAGGATGGCTGGAGAACCCTTTCGCTACCTTGGTTCATTTCGAAGAGCCACACTGCCAGTCCCCAGACTAGGCAACCGAACATTGAAAAACTTGTCTTTCTGCTAGGTGAATAGATGTACCCTTTGTTTGCCAGTAATTTTACCAATCCGTAAATCACCCTGGAAAGCAGGTACAAGTTTATCTGGCCGATTTTATTTATTTAAAATAATTTTATATTCTCTATCTAGTCAAAAGAATACTTACTTGCTCATTGATTTTGTTTTCCTGACCAAAGACACAAAATCCCCCGATAACAGCTGCTAGAAAGTGGTTTACACCATATTTAGAATTTTGAAGGATGTTGAATCTTTGCAAGAATATGCTAATTATTTTGTATATGGCCACGTAGGAAGCCAAGTTTCTTGAATGTGTATAGGTTGCTTTGATTATGGCTCTAACATGCTCTTGGAATCTTGGAGGAAGAATTTAAAGTTGAAACAGTTTTAAATCAGATTGCAAAATAATACTAATTAAATAAACATAAGATAAAAAACAGGATTGACGGTGGTAAAAAAAACTTACGTTGCAGTCTTGAATAAAAATGAGTTGACAAATGCATGTGGAAATCTGACTTTTGCTCCATAGCTTTAAATTTAAAGTATAAAATATAAACAAAATTAAAAGCACAAAAGTTATTGGTAAAAAAAAATTTTAGATGCTGAAAACCTAGATAATAATTAATTAATGTAATCGTAATGTGTAGCAATAAAAACTATTTTTTCCAAGTTTGCTCTCTAAAGTAAAAAATTGAGCAAAGCATTGCACAGTACAGCGCTACCAGTAACAGCACAGTACCAGTACAATATAAAATAAATAATTACTGTATAAAATAAACTAATAAACTAAATAAAGTGATAAAGCTATAAAAATATAAATTATAAAAAACTACAGTAGTATTATTAAGCATAATTAAGCACTAATATTAAATTAATTAAATAACTAAAATTAGAATTATTAAATATTTATTGAATAAATAAAATAAACGAAACCTTACACCGCTCCGTTTCGAAATCCCTTTATTACCAACAAGAGAGGTCTATATTTTTTATTTCGCAGCAGAGCATTCAGTAGGACTAAGGTCGTAGATAACATAATTGAATATTAATATTTAAGCTAATAATTATAATAATTATATATTAATGACTTATATATATATGTATACGGCAAATATATACATATAATAAATAAATAATTAATTATTATTAATGTTTAATAAATAAATAACGCTCCCCTTATTGACGCCGATGCGATCGTTCGAAGGCTTGTTTACGCACCATTGAAGATCGGAGTTTTAAATTAGGATGTTCACAAATGTCGGTATCGACGGTCGATACACGGATTGATTAAATTTTCTAATTTGATTTTACACGTTAATAACACATAATACATTGGAACATATTCTTAGCATTGCATTCACATATAATCATATATATGCATACGACTTTATAAACTTTTTCCGGTTTCGACACAATTGAAAAGTCAACAGGGTATAACACGAATTTTTAATTCTATGAGTCAAAATCTTCAAATGTGTGAACTAGCAAATATGTGGTGACAAAATAGTTGATCAAAAATTAACTTGGCGTTTTTGGAACAAATTAACAGATTTTTATTTTAACGAAAGGCAATTCTTCTAAATCACTTCCATTTTTATCTTCTCCAGAAATATTGATCTTCAGAGATGTAACATGCGGTTTCAACTCCTTCTTTGTGACCTCTGCTACAGCTTGACTGATCCTAAAATAAGTTTGGCATAAAATATTTACCGTTTAATATTCGACATCATGTGCCACGGATGAAGTTTCGCAACAATAGTTTGCAAAAAAAGAAATTTATGTACAAAAAAAATTAACTAACGTCTTTGTTTTACGCTCTTCAACATTATGCGTGAAAACAGTCGATAAGAGAATGCTGTCTCCATATGCGATATGATCAATTGCAAGCATATGCATGTCCTACAAAGAAACATAACTCAAGTTTGTATGGTGTTTTAAGAAAAAGCACAGCCACAATTATAAAAGTCAAAAATTTATATTTCACGCAATAAATAGACGAAAACATATACCTTGAAATAATCGATCAGATTTCCAATGGTGATGTCATGATCGATGTCGAATCTACTCCACATTGTGAACTTCCCATCGTCGTTGTACTATTGAATAGTAAATGATTGCTGATGTTAGATCATCACATCCTGATGCTTTGAAATGTTTAAAAATATGAAACCATGTGCGTGGGTGGCTCTCTTAGTTTGGTGCAGTTGATATTACATGATGATAGAGTGTTGTAAGAATTTCTAAAGTTATCCAATGTCCAATCACCCTTCAGTATCTTTTGGCGTTGTAGATAGATCCAAAGCAGATAAAAAAACACAAGATTATGCTATCAGCAAATTGAAGAACCGCAATATCAACAATATTATATTCATTAACTTATGATAAAAAAAAACTTAAAAAACTTGAAGAAAATTAGCAACAGAAATAGCGTTAATTAACACGTAACCTTGATGAGCTCAATGCAAGCGAGCCCAACCACAAATGAAGTTGTTGTAGTTACTGCAGGGATTATTTTACCGACTATCTTCTTTGTCTGGTGGTAATTAAGTGGTTGTTGTTAAACTTTATAAAGAAGTGGGTGGTGGAGATATCGAGAACAACACACAAAATTTCGGTATCATTATGAACATTATATTGAGTTGTTAACTTAGGAAAGGTATTTGTTAGTAAATTTTAGAGCGTAGAGTTTATGAAACTTTGTGATTTTAAATAATTTAGCAAACAACAAATGATAAAACCTGAAGTTTGTCAGCAGCTGGAATGTTGTAATTGGTGGCTCTCAGATTAGATGCAGCGGTTATATATTCAACGTGAGAATCACAGTCTTTATCGAATTGCAAAGCATTCATCTTTAATTTCAACGAACTCTCTCTTGGTGGTAAACTCTTCAGTATCTCGTGCAGTTCTTCATCATCTGTGTATTTGCAGTTGTGTCTGTAAAAGTGTGCCACTTTTTTGGAACTGAACGCATTTTTAAAAGTATCATGCTATATATATTTATTTATATCTGCTATATAAAATTTTATTCACAACATAATTACCAACTCAATTGCAAATATTAAAATATAAAAGTTTGAGACAGCCATAAAAAAGTCTATCTAAAAGATTGGCACTGTGAACAAATATTTGTTGCCAAAAGAAGAATCATTCAACTTAATTAGCAACATGAAAAATCTTGACGGAGCAAACAGTCTTAGTTTAGATTGGAGCTATGAAAAGTTGAAACGTACCCAGTTTTACGTTTTCTATTTGAGATTTTAAATCTTCGTCTTCAGTTGGAATTTTCAAATTAGTATCCGGCTCAAACTTAGGAACATGCATGTTGTTAAGGACATTTCTTATGAAATCAATCCCTCTTCCATCAGTGACCAGAGGAAGACTGAAGACTTGGGCCAACAAATTTACTGTCGACACTATGTAGTCCATGTGTAAACTCTACGTGAGTAATAAGCAACACATTAGAAATTTTTAAAAAATGTTCACTTCATTTTGGCGACTTACGTACATTGTTTGCATCAAAGGTGATGACTGACGGACATCTTTTGGAACCATGCCAAAATGGCAGACCCTTTGAAGTCACGTATTTCGGTGGAAAGCTCAACAAAATTTCAAGTATTCTGTAATTGAAATGTTCCTCAAAAGACTTCCGAGCCCACTTTATCAAATTTTCTTCTATTGGTTCTGATGAATTCAGAACATCGTTGAAAACTGCCCTGATGTCTTTCAACTTTTCCAGCTTACGGTAATATACGTTAAATATATTCACACTGCTGTCAACAACTTATTAATTTTTCAATTCCAAAATCTAGTTAGAATTAAAAAAACCTTTTGGTAAGGACTAAGTGATTCAAAATTTTTCCAAAAGTCAGCTTCTTCCATGTACTCTTTTGCAGCCTTGATTGACAAGCAGAACTTACCTTCGAAGTCATCTCGCGCCCACTGAATATGAAAAAAATTTTCAACAATTGTTACCAAAAAATTAGCATTTGTCTGACAATAAATAACTTTGCTTTTTAATCAGCCATCAAACAAACTTCCGAAAAATTAGTTGCGCGAGAAAGAAATTTTAAAACGTTAACCTACTTCAAATAATTTGATAGGACAAAAATGACTTTTCATTTGACAAAAACGAACTTGGATGGTATGTTCAATTCTTGAAGGAAAAAACTTGAGAGTACACATAGGGATTGAAACTTCATTTTGATTTGAAGTTGAACGTGACTGATAGGAAACTGTACGATGGGGCAGAATAACCTGCGTGTTGCACTGCAAACCTTCAGTACCGCAATCGATCAGGGGTTTCTCCTGATATATGCAACGCTCGTCAATATAATTTCCTTGAAAATTAACATTTGGTGATTCTATTTAAATAACTTTTAAATTCTCTAAAAATAATTCATTTAAATCGAATATAAAATTTGTAACCCCGATCAAACAGTCCAATTTTTTGGACGTTTATGATCTCAATGACGTCATTTTTAAAAATTAGCCTATAAAACATCTCAAGTAAAAATTAATTAATTACTTTCCATAAAAGATTGCCATCTTATCTAACTTGCTTCAATATTATCCAGCGCACTGATGACGACATCTAGTTTCTGAAAGAAACTATCGGTGAACAAATCTTCAGTTTCTTTGGCAACCTTGCTCACGTGACTTTCGATATTAATTTGCGAGTTCATCCGCTTGATGACGCCAGCAGCGACGGTTGATTTCATTTTCTGGCGGTAATTAAGATTTATTTATGTTTCAAAAATTTTTCAGATTTATACGTTTGATATGAAATTCAGAGTTCAATTTCTGGTCATTAGAAATGTTTCTAGACATGACAAAAAAAAATAATAAAAATAGAAACATAAAAATCCATCACCAACTCCAATGTGTTCATTTCTGAAGAGGAACTGTCTGTTGAGGTTGGACCTCTCAATCATGTCCATGTCTGTTACGCTAACGAGACCTCCATCACCTGCTCCTAGCCCCAACATTGACCAATTCTTCAACATTTCGCAACCTACCGCTCCTACGCCCACCTGAATGTTTTGGAGGATTCAATTACTTCAAAAAAACACAATATAAAAACTCATGCATCCCATTGCCATGCGCAGTGAGTGTAGTACAATTATAACGTGCAGCTCATTAGAAAGACAGAAAGTTCTTTATTAAATGCATAGTATGATTCGCGTCATTCGTGTTCTCCAAAATAGCTAACCAGAAATAACTTGCTGTTTGCAAGTCTCTGCAGGACTTTCTCTCCAATTATGCCTCTGATACCATCGTAACGATCTCCTCTCTGAAGTATTCATCAATCAAAATTATTATCGGAGAATGAAATAATTTCTTCATATAACATACGCTTAAAATAGCTAACAACATAAATAATGGCAATTTAATCTTTTAATAAAAAATTTGTTTCGCAGTTACTAACAGGTGAAAAATCATCTTCTGTTAATTCAATCCACTTCGCATCCAGGAGCTCTCTGGCGTCAAACTGGAACCATTGTTGCAGAGGTTGAAACTTTCCAGTGAGAGCCTTGAAAATTTAGTTAGTGCTAGCCATAAAAAAGACAAAAAGTTTGAAACAATACAAAGTTTCCATTCAGACTCGTTCAAACTCAAAAGAATGAAAGTCGGAGGTAGTGAAATTTTCGGACAAAGTTTTGCTTAAAAATGCGTTCACGCGTCTATGAACTCAAACGAGTTATACTACAAACAGGTTTCAAATAAACATTTCAAAGTATTAATAACATGAAATGAATGATAACCTTAACGACTTCTTGAGCGGCCAGACTTCCGATGACGGAATGGAGAGGAGAGAGATCTCCGTCACAAGTCATCGAAAATTTGCGCAAAAGAAGTTTCTTCTCATTTGTTAACTCCGACTCTCCATGCAAAAGGTTTTTATTTTGGTACATCTCTATGAATTCATGGGCGTCTTGCTGGAGAATATTTTATTAATATACCTATCTGTAAACTGCTTAAAATGTGTTACGACTTTGCTGATCAATCAGGGACTAATGTGCTTTGTCATAAAATATTTCATTGTCAACTTTGAAATTTGTTCAATTCAAAACTTTTGATTTATTTTACTCAATAGAAGTTTAAAGGGAGTTAAAAATGTACTAACTTCAGACTTTGGTCTCGGAAGTCGATTATGTTCATCGAAATAATCATCCAGTGTTAAGAACGCCCTATGGACCAATAGCTGGTCATCAATTTTTGAATAATCACTTGCAACGTAGTTCGGACACTGAAGACTTTCTTCGTAAGATTTCTTTTTCAATTCACATCAGAACAACATTATATTACATCACACCAGTAACAACATTATATCACTTCACACCAGTAACAACATTATATCACGTCACACCAATAACAACAGTTACATTTACGTTTGATATTCAATAATAAATAATTCAGGCACAATAAACCAATGTAGAAATATTATAAAGAGTCAGTTAATGTTAACGTCTTCTTTGAATCAAACGTATCTGATGGTTATCCAGTTTAAGAGCCGCCTATTAAAACTTAAAAACAGTCAGGCAGACAAACACGATAGATCGTGCTATTATGGCACCTTGTTATTGCATGCTTACCGTGTTCGAATGCCATCCGCGATAAACTTGGAGACCATCCTGAATTCCGTAAGAATGACGCGATGCTTGCGCGTACGAAGCGTCGATTAACGTCGTATGCATAACCCTGAGGTAATTTCTTTAACAAATGTCTTGCTCTTAATAATACTCAAATATAACAAACAACACTCCTTACAAAAGTGATACTTTCAGGCAGACGAATCTCAGTGACATAGCCCTGATATCCAACGCTGTCATCACATGGCATCAGAGCAAGCAGCCTCTCTGGGATCTCCACGACGAAATATTTTCCATCTGTGACATTTAACCAGATTTACAGACTTTCAACAGAAATGTCATTGTTCAATGGCAGTTTTTCACATTTTTATTATTTATTAAAAAACTTAATAATAATTATGAATTATTGAATTTAAAAAGTTTATACTTGAATGGATGACTCGCATTCCTTCGTTCCAATCATTCACTTCAGTAAGTCCCTGAACTCCGTGAAACGTGACAAACTCGTCAGCAGCGAGCGATCCTCTGCTATCAAGTGATACGTTCACCTCCAAAGTTCCATTTTTCTAGCAAGTTCATACAACATTATGCCTAATGTATTCACTTTAAAGTAACCAGGATGTGTGATTTAGCTATCGTACTCTGCGTTTGAATATACGTATCCCTATGCTTTAGATAGATGTGTGCGTGTGTGTGTCCGCGCGTTTGTATTTGTACCTGGTGTAATAATTTAATGCGGTTAACCTTTAAAATGTTTAAAATTTCAAACTGGTTGGGCTCGCTGGAATATTTATCAGTAATTGTGAAATTTTCACCGAAATCACAAAACACCTGCCTGTCAACGTAAGTTGGAATGGAAAAGTTTTATTTTATTAGTGAAAGACACACACTTAATGGTTTGATTTATAGCTAAAATGTACAATCAATCTTTTAAAAAATTAAACATTAATTTTTCTCGATCCTCTTTCAATGATTTAAACTGAATTAAAATTAAAATAACCCAAATACTCCTTTTGCATTAGCCATGACGAGAGGTATCCCGCTGTTACGACAAAGCTGGTCGATTCTTTGGCATTCCATGGAACAACTGTCTGTCAGTACTACTGCCTGTTTGTCAATTTTTGCACCAAGCAACATTTCGAATTTATTTTTTTCACTGTCTTTCTATTATCCTCAAAATAAAAATTTACTTTCTAGAAACATCTTAAGTTTAATTTCGTCTGTATAATTACGTTTTACTCATGATATATATGAATACAAAATGAAAACATTGATTAACCATTTGATGAAAATTGTAAGGTTGAGCCAACCGTAAAAGATTTGATGAAATCGTCATTTAATACTTCGACATGTGCCAACACATTTACATGGGGATTCAATTCTGAAAGCTTTTGCCTGCTCACCACTGCTCGATTTTTTCCAATATCTGATTCTTCAGCTAGAAACTATGGTACGTTCATATATTTAGAATCAAAATATTTTGTTTTATAAATGAAAATTTATTTATTTAATTGTAACACAAATGTATTATAAAATTTATTAATAATTTTTATTTATTATTCTTTTAAATAATAATAATTATTAATAATTTTTATTTATTATTCTTTTAAATAAAAATGAATAAAAAAATTCCAAAAATCCTCAAACCTGAGATGACAAATCTTTCCAGGTCAGCTCTTTCAAGTCGTGAATAACAATTTTCCCGACACCTGCCAGGGCAAGATTTTTAGCAACTTCAATTCCAGGGCCTCCCATACCACAAATTAAGACATCTCCGTCACATAATTTTTTCATGGCGTTCTTTCCCAATACGTACCTTCAATTGAAATATTAATTTATTGCGTTTTAAGTGCTTGTAGTATTCTAGTATTGTAATAATCAGTGATGCATGAGTTCTAACAAAGCAACAAATAAAATGGATGAAAAATTTTAGTTAAGTAATAAATATTATTCAACCATTGGTAATTAATTAAAGTAATAAATTAAAAAAAATATTCATTCATTTATTTTATTTTTATTTATTTATTTCATCGTTCATCCTACAGTTGTCTCGAGTAAAGTCCTTCGTCTATTTCGGACATTTTGTTTTGTTTTCAATCAATTTTCAACAAAATCAGGAACACTAATTAGTTAAAAATAATGCTAGACGGCATTTATATTTAATTAAAATTTCAATTTCACGATTCTTCAAGTTTATATGCACTAACGTTAATTTATAAACTAAATAGAGAAAGTGGGAAATCCCAAACGTGTTTAACTGTGTTAGCATAAGTGAATGTGGGAAATCCCAATGTTGAGTTGCAAGAGCGATACCGAATTATGGAATATTGGTTCAGACTGTCTAATAATAAATTTAATAACTATATATATATATATATATATATATGTGTGTGTGTGTGTGTGTGTGTTTGTGTGTGTGTGTGTGTAGTCACGAAAACATTTATTTTAAATAAAAAGACAGACCTTAACACATTTTTTGATTTATTCTACACATTCAAATTGATGTTAGAGATTATTAATAACAGGATAAAAAAATATTAAGCCATTTCGTTTAAACATAATTTTATCAGTGATCACAAAACAGTTTCACTTCATTCCAGCGACTTATTCCAACGTCTTTCCTTTGTTCGTCTGTTTTGAAACCATACTTTTACCTTAGTTAAGATTAAAAATTAAGTAAAATACTTTGCAAACAGTTTTGTTCATTGAATATTTATATATAATGACTAAATTTTCTATGACGGACCTGTATTTCCGTGAGATCCAAACTCTCTGCTAGCGTCTTCCTTTCTTGTCCGATGGAATATTTGCATTTGAAGAAATTGCTTTCAAGTGTTTTTAATTGTTGTTGAGTGAACGCCGTCCTGTTCCGCTTCGTCATGTTTGCTTTCAAAATTTCAGTTTTCTTCAATGTTTTCTTCGAAAGTTTCGGTAAATTTTTTAAACTACGAAAATTATTATCTTTTTTTATGAAAAAATTTTGGTTTAACAATAAGCCGTTTAATTTGCATTCCTTAGTAAGTGAATTGATTTCTTCGCTAGCATAATTTATATTTGATTTTAATTTTAATTGATTTCGAAGTAGGAACTTTATTCTGGCTTCTCGAAGCTGGTTGTAAATTAAAAATTTCGCATTTTCCCAGATTTGTGAACTTGATATATTTTTATCTTGTAACTTTGATCCGAAATTATCAGACAGAATATTATCTATTGAAAATTTTAATTTAGGACTTAGTATATTGATATTCATATTGTTAGTTTGGTTAAACTTATCTTGAAATAATATACGTTGAAAATTTATTTTAAATACGTTGCACACGCCTTATATACTCTACTTCATTAAGTCTCCGGGGAGTTTAAATAAAAACATTTTCGAATCATTGAAATTAATTTAATGCTTGTCAGCTTGACTGTGTGTCCGCTACGCCTTGTCAGACTTGAATTCACGTTAAAGACGTGTTTAATTAATGAACATTTGTCAGCTATGCAATTTTAAGTTTATCAACGTAACTGACATTTTTTAAAGATTTGATCGTCTCAATGGCAAGAGTCTTCAAGGAAAAACCAAACATCAGCTATGAAGATGATGCCACATGCTCACCATCGAATGTTCCTTCTTCATTTTCTACTACTCCGTACGAGACGGTTGTTTCAAAAAAAGTAACCAGCCGCAAAACTCCGTATAGTTACGTAGTTTCAGAAACAAGTCACAGAGTTACATCTTTCAGCATTCACAAATCTGATGAAAATACTAACAATAATCGTGAGAAGGACAATTTTGAAACATTGGATTCTTTGAAAACTTGTTCAAAATCAAGCCGGAGCAAGCAAACTGTGTCTACCTACGTGTCCAGATCACTAACTGAAAGCATCTCTTTTTATACAGACGTCAATTTTAACACCAGCCGAAAAGAAAATAGAAAAGACATCAAAACACCAACAACCACTTCAAGCGATTCGAGTAAAAGTTCTGGAAAAGAGAGTTTATCAGGTTCGTCATCTAGGAGCGAAGATGGAAAAACTGCTGGCAAAAGAAAAGCAAAGAGAATTTGTAGTGAAATAAGAGTGGATGAGATTTCATTGGTATATGACAGCAAGAGAAGTGACGATTCGCTTTTAAAGAGCAGCGACAAATTAACTTTTAAGAAGGATGCGAAAAAGATTGGCTACAATAAAAATGCTGATGTTCCGCCGTCAAGAGAAAGGAAATGCAAGAAAAAAGCCTTGAAAGAATCAAAATCATTGAAGAGAGTGAATGTTTCCACATCGGTTTCAACTTTCAAAACTGAATCCACGAAATCACCAGGTGCCAGCTCCATCGGTTCCTACATTTATTCAGATGCTTCCAGTGATATGATGATGACGAAACCGAAATTCAAAAAACTCTATAAACGTTTCAAGAAAAAAAGAAAAATGAAAGGAACTAAAAAACCAGAGAAACCCGAAGCATTAGATAAACAGAAAAGTGATGAGAACGGCTCTAAAAGAAATAAAAGTGAATCAGATGCGAACCTTTCAAAACTCCCAAAAAACAAAAAGACCGACGGAACTGATGTTAAGAATAGAAAATGTCCAGCTGATAAAAAAACATGTGCCAGAGATCTAAAAAAATGTGCTAACGACTCTAAATCTAACAATAAGAATAAATGTGCCATAGAGGGTAGCCTTCTTTCAAAAAAAACTTCGAAAGTGCCTCGAGCTAAGACATCCGATTTGTCGACAAGGCAAGGTGTTAAAGTTGAGTAAAATGCGTTGATGTTTGCTAACAATCGACTAAACGAGAAAATTTAAACATTTAGAAAGTAATTTTTTAATTTCAGCTATTCACCTCGAATTCAATTTTTTCGTTTATTCAAAAATTGAATAGAAGCGGATCATATAACAATTGTAAATTAACTTTTTTTGATGTTTTGAAAGCCTGACGTCATTTCAAACAAGCTTATTTATTATTTCATAATGTTTATCAAACATTGGCATGATTTAAAAATAAATTATTTTTTTAAAACTTGAAATGCCTATTGATGAACTTAACAAACAAAAGAGCTGGCAAATTAAATCGGATAATATTACCGCGACCGGCAACTCGTCAGTTTTTGATTTTCATTTTGCTGAGTACAGACTTACGCCAATCGAGAGCGATCGAAATTTTTACAAGTACAAAGACATTAATGTAAAAAATTTAAGTAAAAAATTAAGTAAAAATTTGATGCAGGAGTGTAGAGATTCAAAAATCGTAGCTAGATCATACGCCCTAAACAAAATCTCTGGCTCATTCAATAACCGTAATTTGAGTCAACACAATCGATTAAATATACCCAGCAATAAAAGTAAAAAAAGCTCATCAACCACCAGCAAACCAAATCTCATCAACACCTTAGTTGACACTTCTAGCATGAGTAGTCTGAGCTCTCACAGTAGTTCATCTTGTTCTTCCACTACAAATCCTTCCCTACTCAGCTCCAATTCAGATTCCTATTCTAGTTGTACATCTGTCGAAACAATTAAAAATGGAAAAAAAGGAAAAAACAATAAGACACATAGCAATCGTAATGCCTCAAGTTCCTCTGCAAATACTGATTTAGTATACAAGGAACTGATGAGTCAAACCACTTACAGTTTGAATACTGTGGCCAGCTTAAAGTACCCCACGACGAAACATTTTTCCAGCAATCACAAGCAAGTTTCCAGCGAATCACTCATGCGCAACAATAGCAACTCGTTCGAACCGACGCTGGAAATTGTCGAGAAACAAATGACTAAAGACGGAAATATTGAAGAATATTTCAACATGAGAAGAGATTTGGAAATTATAGTGAAGCATTTGAAAAATACAGAACAAAAGAAAAAATTGAAGCATTTGATTCAGAGTTATTTAGAAGTTATAAGAGCAGAAATGAGTCAATCAGACAAACGTGCAGACGAGAACGAAGATCCTGTTAAACTTCGCCGTGATTGGAACATTCTTTACAAGTTGGTAATTAGAGAAATCAATGATGAAATAACCAAGGAGCGGGTGAAACAACTTCTGAGAAATATAGCTAACTCGTTCAAAGATCGTTCTGCTAACAAAACATCAAACAGCAAAAATACGCGAAACTCATCTTCAACGGACAGCAAGATGTTATCAAATATTTTGCTGACTTCTGAAAAAAATAAAATATATCCGGTGAAGCCTAAAAAGTCGCACAAGAAAGATGATACAGTCTCCACTAATGTTTCCAACTCGCAATCAAAATCTTCAACGATGCTTACGGAGAACGAAGTGCTCTCGACATCAAACGCATCTGCCCTGTCGAGAACGTCGACCGATCAAACTACACACCAGCCAACATCTGCGGTCAGCATTGCAACTGAGAATGCCAACACGAATAAATCTGCTGGTTCGGGTACTCGGAAAGAAAACTTCGACAAAAGTTCCAAAAGCAATCTGAATAGTCTGTCGTCCAGATTTACTCCGAACACTTTCACAAATTTTTTTTCTAAAATGAATCCTTTGGATAACAATTCTGCAGAAAAACCTAAAAAGAGAAATAAAAATAATGATGTTAATAATAACAACAACACTAACGAGTCTGATTCAAGAGTGACGATAAATATGAAAAAACCTTCTAAAAAGAAGTCTTCTCGATCAAAAGTTGTTTACCACACGTATTATTCGAGACAGAAGTCAAAACTTTTCAGGCCCAAAATGTCATGCGAAGTTAACAATAGCACGTAACATGGTTTGAAATTCTATCGCTGCATATGAATTGTATAAACGTTTATAGTTTAGGATGCTACGTCCTATCCGTTCGATGTTACTTATCTTTGAAGTGACATCTCTGATTCAAGAAACGTTTAATTATTATATAGTTTGTGATGTGTTTTCTTTACACATAACTTAACTTAGTAAGTTAAATTTTTTATTTAAATAAATTCATGCACAATAAACACAAAGTACCGTACGAGAAATGATTAAATATTTTCAAAAAATTGATGTTCTAATGTTAATGTCACATGAAGACCAGTCAGAATGCATGTTTTTTAATTTATTCTAAAATAATCAGCTTTGGTTTTGGGTTATCGGTAACAGGGTAGCCGCACGCGTTGGTAAACTGGAGAAGAAAATGATCAAAAAATTCATTTGCACGTAACGTGTTTGAAGGAATGCTCTCACACAAAAAATACAACGTAATTAAATAAAATTAAATAATGTAATGTCTGTTAAAAATCATTTGTTATCACAAAAATAAAAGTTGTTTGTTAGAATGTCACATTAATGATAAAAAGAAAAAAAGCTTCAAACAGTCGTTTATTCATATAATTGTATCAATGCCACTGGATATTTAAATAAGTTTATTTTATTCATTTTATTAAATAAATTGTTAAATATTTCATCAAGTAGTTTTTAGCGAAAATATCCAAGAAATAAATTTTCAAGTTATCAAGTTAGCATCACCTTTTCTAGCAAATTTGTAAACAACAACACGAGATTTGTAAACAACAACACAAAAGAGAGGGAGAGAAAAAAACAAAGAGAAAGAGAGGGAGAGTGAGAATTAGATGTGAGAGATCATTGTAAGCGGTAGAATTCGAGATAGGATTGGTACTTCTCTGATAGGATGGTTTCCCACCAGGCTGATTCAACTTCTCTCTCCTCTTCACTATCTCCTTCAAATTTTTCTTTCTCATAAACAGCTGATATTGACTTTTTGTAAGCGTAAATTTCGGGATCTAGCGGATCTTTCGGTCCAAATTTGATACTTCCCAGGAGGGAATATGCGGGAATGAAAAAGTGCTCGCTACCGTACAGCGTCATTTCCAGAGATATTTGACCGGATTGTAATTTATCCTTCGGTATATCGAAAAAGAGACTTTCCTGCCAGTCGACTGAGATTGTGTTGTTGTTGCATGAGTTGGCGTTTGACGACGAGACAGCCAATGTGCTCGTCTTACGCTTTTTCATCTTTTTCTCGTTCTCAAATATCACTGCCTTCACGTAGACATCTAACAAATTTTTAAAATCGAAATTATTAACTGGAAATGTCAAGAATTGTTAATCTAATAAATAATTAAATTGTTTATAATTAAAAAATTTTAACATTGTGAAAAAAAATGAAAAAATCTAACAAGTGGAAGCTTTGATATTTTTTTTGGCAGCCTTCAGCAGTCCAACAGTAACAGTTAGACGTTCAGCACTGCGAAGGTAGGACATGGAGAAAGAGAGTTCCAGGAATGTCTCATCCTGGTAGAAGTTTTAGGAATAATTTTTTTATTTTAATTTGTTTCTGCAAGAGTTTAAAAACTTGATTCGCTTTAAAAAATGTTACAAACACTGAAAAACTACTATTGTGCGCATTATAATTATTTATGCATCGTAAAAAATTTATTATTATTAATCTTTTTATTTTAATTGCTTATAAATTATCACCGAAAATATTTTTATTACTAAAATTTTCTTTTAACATTATGTACTTTTAATAATTTGACGTCACACGTCAGCGTTTATGTAAAAAACAAACAAAATGAATCGTTGTATACAAACATTTACGAAAACGTCCAATGTAATCATTTTCTACCCATAGCTAAATTTGATTTTCAACAGTACTTGAAGCGATATTTTAAAAATGGATACATTTATTTGAAACGTTTCATACATTTGCATGCTGTAATCCACTTAGAAAGTAAGACACTCTAACAGCGCTCTAGCAAGAAGCATCATGGGTTATTCTGATGGTTTGACATGCTAATGAGGCAATCGTAGAATAATGATACCACCTACAACTGTTTTGTGGATGTTGTGCGTACAGTTGCCTGTGGTGGTAACTGAAGTTAATGCTACTTCAGCTGGGAATAGAAGAACAACTTTTGCAGGTAAAGCATGTAAGATGTTAAAAAACCGCTTTGTCTTATTCAAATAAATTGTTGATATCTTTTTGTAACACATAACCGCAGTTTGTAATACGTTAGCAAAGCAATGATTAATAAAAATGCGATTATGTTTATGGTACAAAAACTTACTAACGTAAGCTCACAGTACAAAAAACATTAGAAATACGCAGGGAATAAAATGGATGTAACTTTCAATGAAAGCATTTTGGTTAGCGAAACAAAATTTTACGCCCGAATTTTAACGTGTTGGTAATTACATGTTACTTTATATTTAAAATGTTATATATAATTAAACAAATATATTTAAAAACACTTTTTATTAATTTATTTGGTTTATTTTGGCCGACAGCAACAACAGCAACGACAGCAACGCCTGCAGCTGCCGTTATAGAAAAAACGCAAGAGAATGCAGTAGATTTACCCAAAACAACAACAGATAGCACAGCAGTAAAAACACGTTTAAAAAATATGGAAATTAAAAGTGAGATTTCAGTTGAAAGACAAGCAAAAATTGTTGAAGCTAAAAGTTCGTCAAAACCCACTGTGGAAACAGACAGCATGGTTGGTGGAAATCTGGATTTAAAGACCGAAAGGATACATGGAAAAAGATCAATTAATACGACGATGATAGATACTTTCCAACCTGGAGCAGTTGAATCAACCACGAGCAAACATACACCGGGGACAAGTGAGATTAAAACCATTTCTAGTACACCAGTCAGAAAAAAACTAGGAACAATAGCAACAACAACAACAACGGCAACAACAACAACAGCAATAGTAACAGCAGTAGAAACAGAACCAACAATTTCATCAACTGCAACCTCAACTGCAACCTCAACAGCAACCTCAACAGCAACCTCAACAGCAACCTCAACAGCATCGACAACATCAACAGCAACAATTTCAACACCAGCACTAGCAGCAACAGTAACGACAACTTTAATAGCGTCAGAAGCAGCAACGATAATTTTAACAGCAACCTCAACTGCAACAACAACATCTGAAACAACAGCAACGACAACACGAACAACAACAACAACGACAACACGAACAACAACAACGACAACATCAGAAACAACAACATTGAGAATAACAATAGCAGCAACGACAACACAAACAACACCAGCAACGACAACATCAAAAACAACAACAACGACAACACCAGCAGCAGTAACGACAACACAAACAACAACAGCAACAACAACATCAGAAACAACAGCAACGACAACATCAGAAACAACAACAACACAAACAACAACAGCAACAACAACATCAGAAATAAAGACAACACAAACAACAACAACATCAGAAACAACAGCAACGATAACATCAGCAGCAGCAATGACATCGACAACACAAACAACTACAGCAACGACAACATCAGAAACAACAAAAACAACGACAACACAAACAACTACAGCAACAACAACATCAGAAACAACAGCAACGATAACATCAGCAGCAGCAATGACATCGACAACACAAACAACTACAGCAACGACAACATCAGAAACAACAAAAACAACGACAACACCAGCAGCAGCAACGACAACGACAACACAAACAACAACACAAACAACAACGGCGACGACAAAAGCAGTAGCAGCAACAGCAATAGCAGCAACCCCATCAACATTAGAATTGGCAAATAAGCAACTGACATATAATTTTAAAAAACCGTCTGTAACGAAAATTGATTTTGCTAACGTTTCATTCAAAACTTTAAGTAAAATTATAAAACCTGGGATCCAAAATGAAACGCCAAAAGAAAAAATAAGCATAGCCGGAAATCCAGAGAACGTTTATTATTACGACCAAAATTATGATTTAAAAAACATTATCGAAGAACACGATGACGTTGACGACATCCTGGTCCCACTATCCCACAACAACATCCGCATCCGACCAGGAAGGATCAGCAAGCAAGACGCTTGGGTGATGCAGGAGTTGCAGTATGCATTCGATAAAACGCAGCGTAACGAGGTGGCCTTCCTTGAAAACTCCCAGGTTCATGTTTCCACTGAAGATGTATTCAAAGGTAAAATCGGGCACGGATTGATTCAGCGGCAGTCTTACGTTTTTCGCGTGCGTCCGGATATCGTTCACATGCCCGGGAATAAAACATACACGGAAAGGACGTTGTATGTGCACAGAGGTGACGACGCCATCGTCCCCTGCTACGACAACAACATCAATATCCTATCGACCAAGTGGATTCAGTTCACCTGGATCAACAACACCAACCAAAAATTTGATTACGACGAAGTTCTCTTTGAAAGGGTTTCTTTGACTAACGATCAAGAATTGTGGGTTGGTTTTTAGGTTTTAATTTGATATTATTGACAAAATGTATATTTAAATTTTTGTTCTATAATATTTGACGTAATAAATTAATAGCTAGTTAATAAATTATTCGCAAACAAATGTTTGAATTCGGCATCAACATGTAGTCAAGATGAAACTATTTTGCCACCCAGATAAAAGGAGCCCACTTAAACGACACCGGCATGTACACCTGTTCAGTTTCAGCAATCACTACAGAATTTGACACACCGTTCTATCTGTACAACGTCATAAATGTGTACGTTTACGAGATGAGCCACATCTCTCTTGTTTTTCATTATTCTTTCCCGTACGTTACCAAATCAATGCCATGCAACCCTATGTACGAAAAAGATGTTTTGAAACAAGCTGAAGAACTTCTTTGTCAGATAAAAGGTTTCATAATTGAACTTCACATTAAGATGTTTTTTTTACAAACGCAGTTTAAAATAATTTTGTGGAAATAATACGTGAATACATTTTGTAATTTTTCAGACAAATGTCGCTACCGAGTTCGCGTCACCTGCGACCATCCTGCTCCAAGACCTGAAAACCCGTTAATAGAACCGACAACTGCAAAACCTTCCAACTTCGATGATCACAACAAATTAAAATTGTCAGGTTTCATTTTGCAAGAAAATTCTTTTAAACTGGCCAACTGTTCAGATTCGTGCACAATATTTCAACGGGCCATGCACGTTTCTAAAGTTCGATCTGTCGTCAGCGAGGCTTTCGATCGGCTGAATCTGCCGAAAGACATTGACCCTCAAGCGAATGTCGAAGAATTTTTCATCTTCTACTGCAAGCCTGGATACTTCCTGCACAAATTCGCCTGCATTCCATGCCCACCCGGAACCTACCTTTTGAGGGGAGGTCCCAACGATAGGTGCATCAGATGTGAAACGGACACTTATCAACTTCAAGTCGGATCAAAGGTATTTTAGTGCTAATAAACTTTTTTTTACTAAAATTTCTGTGCCTTCCAATAAATTTTCATATTTGCTATGCGTGTTACCATAATTTGCATGATAAGATAATCTTCAGCCATTTTTATTTATTGTAAAAATCGGAAGTGAACAATTTTTTTAAGTTTTACCTTTACTAATAGTTGCTGATGCATTATTTAATTACATTTTATGAAAATTGAGAAAATAAGAACAAAATATTAAACGGACAGGAATGCATACCATGTGAGAGAAACATGTTCACGTTTGGTCTGCTGAGCAGAGAGGCCTCACGATGCAGTTTTGTGTCGGAACACTTGATTGTATCGAACGTGGTTTTTTTCATTGTCGGATCTATTGTAGGAATTATCGCTTTGACAGGATTTACAATCAACTTGCTCACACAATTTTTGGCCTGCATGACAAAAATCAACGAAAGTGCCACTCAAGTGAGGGAAGAGAAACCTAAAACGGAACTCTTTCAAATCTTTCCCATCTTCCAAGGCAAAGAACAGAAACCGGAAACGATGGACGCTTCCCCAAAAGCTAACTGGAAAAACAAAATATTTGACGATGAACCTAAACCAGAAGATACACTACGAACCACCACATTTTTTGATATTTTTTTTAAAAAAGCAGAACAACCAGAACAACAAACTTCAAAAAATAATAATCTACCAGCAAACAGGCAGAGTAAAATTTTTCAAAAGCTGCAGAACTTATCACAAAGTTTCGACGAATCGTCAATTAATGTGTTGGACAACAGATCTCACAACAATTCCAACACACCAACACCAAAATTTTACCCAAAAAGAGCGAAAAAAATGATTTCGCCATTTGAAAAACAATTAATCAAAAATTCCGAATGGAAAAAAAATAAAAATAACAATAGAATTTATAGAAAAAAAATCATGAACATCTTCACGAAATTTTTGAAAAAAATTACTACATCGTTCCGCGGTGAGTACCACGAAAAGAAAGACTTGTCATATATATCGAGTACTGAGGTGTACTCAAAGTCTCCAATGTTTAGGCGCGGGTTGGAAGAATCTCTCATGTCACCAGCAAAAAGTGATTTTGAAAGTTCATTCAGCAACGTTGTTCCGGCAGTAGATAATTCATCAAAATTGAAAAACAAAAAAGTGACTGGCTTCTTAAATCCAGAAAACTCATACAGAGCAGTCAAATTAAAACATGAAAAAAACTTGAGCAAAAAGTTGAATCATTCTTTTCTGAAAGATTCAAAAGACTTCAAGTCTCTGTCGTTTTCTGGCAAAGACGTCCAATCGCCGTCAAATGAACTGCAGTCTGCATTTCATCATCCACTATCTGGTCTTTTCACTGGTTCTCAACTGGCGTACGATACAAGAGTGCTCCTAAATAACAGCGCCGCACAGCTCTCCGAGAACGTTTCTCACATCTCCATGCTATCAAATGAAAAAATCTCCAATGAGAAAAACAATTCAAAAATAAGATCAACAAATCAACTCGCTAATAACAAACAGAATTTATTAAAACAAGACTCTACGTCTAACGAAACAAGAACCCTTAGGCAAGCATTTAATGAACTTTTAGATGAAGTGAATCAACCGACATCAAACGAAAATTTCATTAAAAAGTTCACAACATTCGTTGAATATCTTGATGATGGCAATAAAAACATTCCGACAGATCCAACGATTTGTTCTCACAAACCCCTCAAACAGAAATCTTCAGGCGATTGTCAGTTGATGAACAGCAATTTTAATAAACTGACCATCAAAAGCAAAAAAATAAAATTTTTGAACACGCTATTTGAAAATTATTTGATTGAACTGAAAAATGTTTCAACAAAAAATTCAACTGAATCGAGGAATTGTTTGTTGAATTCACTCAAAGAACAATATGCACTTGCCACTAGCAAATCCAACCGCAAACTTTCAAAACACAAACAACACCACAAAACAAACAAAAACGAGAACAACGTTGAAACTGACGAAAAAAATCTGCCAAAAGAAGAGGAAAAGCAACAGGATAACTTTACGGTTCCTTCGGAGCTTCTGAACAAAGCGTTTGACGAACTGATTGATGGTTACAAATGCAAACTGGATAGGAAGAACATGATGATGAAGAAGAGTAGTCTGTTAGACCTAATTGATCAGAAATCGACTCTCTCATTAGCGAGAAATTGCGATAAAAGCAACAACTTACTTAGTGGGCACGAAAGTGTCGCCTCCTCAAATCAGGTCTGTTCCGAACTGTCTGGTGTTATGATTTCCCTGAAGACCTCTAAAAATGTTAAAAGTATAAAAGAAAAGTTTAAAAACCTGGTTAAAGATTTGGACAATCCTGATTTAATTGTTGAGACCAGTAGCAAAATAAAAAATTTGCTGAACAAAGTTGAGAAAAATTTCAACGACCGAATGAGCGCGGAGCTAATGAAGCGAGAATCTCAATCAAAAAGAGTCGGTAAGGACGGGACAGATCACAAAAATGAAACTTTTGAAGATGAAAAGTATTCAAAGCAAGAAAAAACATCAACAGAGAAAAATCACAAAAGATCAAATACTGGAAAAAATGTTGAGAGTTCGAAGAAACGAGACCCTTCTCATCACAAAATGCATTCAATCCCTGCTCGAAAAATGTCAAAACCAGCCAGTTCACAAAATTGCAACGACAACAACAGCAGCAGCAACAACAACAATAAAAACAACAACAACAACGTCGTTATCGATATTTCTAGCAACGATAACGCCAAATTCGACATTACAAATCACATGAATGACGACGCCAGTACAAACCACAATGCAAGTTACTCAGATGAAGATGATCACAAGAGTATTGAAAACGTTTCTAATGGTTCTCTTCATTTCCAGACATTCAAAGTTGCCAATAACGACGACATAATAAAATCTTCCTTTAGTTCAATTTCTCCAATAAATAAATTATCCAACCGATCGCCTCCTACGAGTATGCCAAAAATTTCAAACAGTGGCAGAACTACAAGTGCTTCAAGAAACAAAAACAAAGAAAAAACAACAAAACTTAACGCAACAACAACATCAACAACAATAACATCAATATTAAAAAAACTAACACCACCAACAACATTAACAACAAAATCAACAGCATCAACAACAACGTCATCGTCAATGAAGATCATTCCAGTTCCTAGAAACTCCACACGCAAACTGAAGCAATCGAACTACATTTATACAAATTCTGAAAATAACATCAATAACATTAATGTAAAGAACAATCACAACAACAACAACAGCAACGACAACAATAATAACAACATTAATAACAACAGTTTTTGCGATGATAACCAGAATTCACGTGCTGTTGAGGTAAAAATCGTTCGCAAGTACCTTACAAATGATCAACTCTACAGTTCTGACAACAACAATAATGTCTGTACAGAGAAGCAAAATATTTATAACAACAACAACAACAGTAATAATAATAATAACAACAACACTTACAACAACATTTACACATCCTTCCATCCTACAATCACCGCAAGAAAATCTCGAATTGAAAAACGAAATTACAACGAGAGCCTACTCGGAGCTGGCAGAACGAACCAGAGCAATATTAGCAACAACATCAACTACAACAACAGCAACAACATCAACAACAACAACACAAATAACATCAACAACAACAACAGCAGCAGCAACACAAACAACAACACAAACAACAACACAAACACAAGCAACAGGAGAATGAACGATAATGACGCTAGCAAGAGCAATAAAATGAAGATTGCAAATAAGAAGCGAACTACTCATTCTGACAATAAAATCACCACCAACAGCACCACCACCACCACCACCAACAACATCACCAAAGATTTACTCCATGATAGTAGGTATGATAAGACACCTATCACTGATGAGGACGACGATGATGAAGATGTTGAAAGTAGCGACGATGACGATTGTAAGAAGGCTGAGTGTGACAACGCCAATGGTGATGCTGATGTCAGCATACAGAAGTTGAACTTTAACAGGAAGAATGCTGTGACCCGGACAAAATTTTTTGTGACGTAACAGGGAGGGGGTGGGGTGGGATAGAGAGGATGTAGAGAGGGCAATTCTTCAATTTAAAGTTTCATGTATCTATAAGACAGACGTTGTTTTTTTGGTTTCTATAGAGGCAATTCAAAACGACGATGACGATGTGTGTGGACGATGATGATGATATGATGATGGTAAAGATGATGATGGTGATGACAATCACCACGCAGATGATGAAAAAGGATGAAATGGTGTTGAGCAGAATGACGAGATAATTACAACGACTGAGGGTAACAAAGATGAAACTTTTGCTGGTGAAAATGATGTAATTGGTTTAATGTGATTGTCTTGATGCAATGGTTTCGATGCAATTGTTTGAATGTAATTGTTGGTGTGGCGTTAAATAAAAAAGACTCAATGTAATAGTTTACGTTCTTCGTAAGGGTTGTGGTGATGTTGGTGCTGGCGTTAATAATGATAATGATGCCGTAGATGGTGACGATTCTGATAATGATGATGACGGTGGTGACGATGACGATAATTTAATTCTTTGGAAGACGAGACCCCTGATTAATGTTTTTAAAATATGGATACCCCGTGATCTAGATCCGTCATTAGTTATCACAGACTCATCCTACCGAACCATTTGTCACGATGGCGTTTGTCCATTCATCAACAGCTTATTATTTATTCATCCATTCAGTCATTCGTTCGTTCGTTCGTTCACTCACTCACTCATTCATTTATTCATTCATTTTTTATTTAATCTTTCTGCTGTTCAACTTACATTCGCTTTTTAAATTAAAACTAATCTATTTATATTTCTACATTATATTCTAAAATATTCAAGTTTTATACCGTTGTTCGAGGGTTTGGCCACTTTCTATAGCAGTTAATTAACTATTTTTTTCTCTTTTCTATTCATTTATTTGGCACTTATTTTTAAATTTTTATCTCGTTATGAAGAAAAATTTCTAATAAAAATCAAATGAGAAAAAATGTTTTTTGTGGTTTTCCATCGTGGCTTTCCATGAATTTCAAGTTTTCAACTATCACAAATTTCCCCTGTCCAATTTTTCGCTAGTAACAACTCACCAATTAAATCATTTTGCTCTTACAAATAAAAATGAAACTTTTTCAAGAATATTTCAACTTTCACGTTTTAAATCTTTTTCTAGCCCACCTAATTAACCAATTGTTGTTGCCACCATTCAGAAGGGAAGAAGGAGGAAAAGAAGGAAGGAAAGAAAGAAAGAAAAGAAAATCACGTGATTTTTACTGTGTTTTGCCGGAAGTGAATGCCTACTATTACCTGAGTTAGTAAACAGTGTAAGTAAATTTTCAGACTGTCAGCGAAGCAAACTGACCGATAAGAAGTTAGTACAAAAAAGTACAAACTATGAAGAAATTATTATTCGAATAAAACGAAAAATACTAGACTGAGATACACACACATACATACATACATACACACACACACACACAAATACACACACACACACACACCAGGATGACAATAATAATCAATAAAATGTTATGATGACGAGAAGGATGATAACTGTGGTAGAGAAAGAAAAAGATTATGATGATAATGATGCAGCGATTCATAGAGTACCGGTCGTTACGTTACGACTGCAAGCATCTAAATGTGTGTGTGCGTGTGTGCGTGCGTGTGCGTGTGTGTATGTGTATAATATGTTTCAGTGTATAATATGCTTCAATAAAATTAAGTTTAAAACGTTTCTATCCTTAAGTAATTAATGAGTTATTTCAAAAGCTTCGGACAACAATAAAATTTCAAATGCATTGTTGTTTCGAATCAATGGATTTAAATTAGCAATTAAAATAGCAATGATAATCTAACAACATTAAAAAAAACATCGTCAACTACAATAACAGCATCAATTAAAACATCATCAACAACAACATCAACAATATCCACAATCAATAACAACAACAACAACAAAAACATCAGTAGCAGCAACAACAACATCAGCAGCAGTACCAGCAACAACAGCAATGTCAGCAAAAACAACATCAACAACAACGTACTACTACTATTACTGCAAAAACATCCCGATATAAACAAAATAAGATGTAACTTACAATGTCATCATTATAATTATTAACGTCATCATCATCACCATCACCGTTCTTCTTATAGTCAACGCCATCATTATCATCACTGTTAATAACATCAACATCATCATCATCATCACTTCCGTAAACGCATAATGACGTCATAGTGACGTGATGGGCATGTTTTATGTTCTTTGGAACATCCTGAGAAGAGAACCACGTTCTGAACACTCACACGCACGCACGCACACATACACGCACAGACACGCACATACACACACAGACACGCACACACACATACAAACACACATTTACAGTAGTACTTACAACTTCGTGAACGAAATTAATTCCAACTGCAATCTTTCATCAGATCTGATTGTTTACATCATAGCCATAACCATCATAGTCATCATCATAATCATCATTTTCATCATCATCGTCGTCGTCGTCCTCATCATCGTCATCAGCATCGACTTGCCTGCACACCATGGGTGCGGCAGCTATGTCATTATTCAATCCATATCATTATCGCCTTCTTAAGTTTTCGACTTCATGTCATCATCATCACCACTATCATTACTTTGCTGCAATCATCATCATCATCATCATCACCACCACCATCATCATCATCACAATCATCCTATTTGGAAGCTTGCCTAGACGCAAGTCTTCAAGCTTATTAATATACACATAACGTGTCGAGTTTGTGACATGTTCGGTGATAACACTATGATGATGTTGATAATCATGTCCACAAACAGATTATATTTGAAGGTTTGAAGGCATACTTACACGTGTGTGTGTGTGTGTGTTTGTTTGTGTGTGTTTAATAAATTAATCTTGCCATTAATAAAAATTTGGCAAAATTTTTTAACTAAAATTCCAAAAAATTCGACGAAAGAAAATGTCTGATGCAAGTTGCCGAATAAATCGTTCGGTGAAATAAATAAAAATATTGAAACAATAAATGAGTAAATAAAATAAATATGTATAAAAAATAAATTAATAAATAAATACTGAAAAATCAATTAATGATTGAGTGTGTGTGCAGAACGAAAATAATTAGATGAAGGAGTGAGATTGAAGGAATGAAGAGTTGAACCCCGTCATATCTCTTGATCTACCACTGACACGATATCTTCCGATGGACAGATGGAACTACTGATAAATAAACAATTTATTTGAGGAGTGCGTTATATACGACGGATGGATGGATGGATAGATAGATAGATGATTAATTGAATGAATAACTGGATAAATGAGTAATTGGATGAATTAATTATAATGTAATTATAAAAAACAATGGATGAAGCGATGGATGAATAATTGTGACTGCTATAATTGGGTGAATTAGTTATAAAAGGAATTTTATCGTGTTGAAATGTGACAAAAATAAATGACCTGAAAATTATTTTTGGATTAAAAATATAAATAACGTTTAAACGGTTTATTTAAAAAAAAACAATTTAGTCGTTTGCTTATTGAAGAAGAAATAATGGCACAGCGATCTTGATTGAATGAATAGTCGGTTGTCATATAATTACGCAGCGTTGGATTATTATCATTATCATCTGTCATCACCATTATTATCATCATCGTCGTCGTCATCATCAAAATCAGTGCCAATGAAAATTGGCTCTGATCAAATACAGCGACAAAATTGAATCAACGTTGTTAACATTTTACAAGCCAGCAACAACATTATCACCTTCACCATTATCATCCTCATCATCACCAGCAATACTATTTTGATCATCACCACCGACTAAATTATCACTTTCATCACCACAACACCAACAACATCCATCACAATTTACTCACCATCCCAGTGACTTCTTTGGCAGCAGTAACTTCCTGGCATACTTCGACCATCTGATCGGCGAGACACAAGCGATTGAGATCGACAAGAGCAGTAGCCACACACGCTCCAGTGCTCCTGTCGTCACTGGCGCATCTATACAGCAGCACTTCAAGAGCCCGGTTTGAAAACTCTTTATTTTTTTTAGTTTTTCTCGACGCTACTTTATTTGATGAGATCCCATCATCATCGTCGTCGTCGTCGTCGTCGTTGTAAGACGTTGCCGTTCTTAGAGGGTCGTCATCACAATGCACGTTTTGTTGTCGCTGAAGTTGCTGTTGTTCGTGTTTGACCGCCTTGGTGGGGAAGACTTCAAAGAGGAACTCCTCGTTGAATCTGGGGTTGAGGAGTTCCGGTTGCAGTCTCGTCTGCAAGTACTCTCTGCTTAGCAGTGCGGGGTTTGACATGCGCCGATTACGACGATTTGATTTGTCGACCAATCTTAGACGAGCAAATGTGTACCTGATCTGTGGTTGGTCAAAAGTGCTGTCCGTTGGAGGAGCTGGAGGAAGATCACGTGCCGAGATCAGTTGTACGGTTAATAAATTTTGTTCGTAGGAGTAAATAGCGGTTAGGTTAATTCTGCTTCGGCCGTTGGTGACGTCATCGTCATTTGTTTTTGTTGCCTCGAAATCATCGGCATCACGTGGGGTAGGTGTGCTGATTGCATCTTCTTCCGTTATAACGTCATGGCGCTGTTGTTTCGTCAGCATTGGAAACATGGAAGTTTTCTATTTAAGGATAAACTAAATGTCAAAATGCACATTTGCACAAAAAGTTTAATTACTCCCGTGAAAAATGAACGAATGATTAAATGAAAGAAAAAATTAGACGAATGAATGAATGCATGAATAAATAAATAAATGAACAAATTACAAAAACGAATAAAAAATGAATGAGGGGAGTGAGTGAGTGAATAGATATTAACATAGAGGCTGGCGTCGATCATGCTGCAGTCGAGGGCATCGTGCATGGAGGCCCTCCTGTTTCGTCTGCCTGCTCCTGCTGCTGAACCGGAAGTCAGTTTTGGTGTTTTTGTTGTTTTTGCTGCTGACGTTTTTGCGGTTGTTGCTGGTTTCAGTGGTGATTTTGAGGCCAGTTTGAATATAGCCATTGAGGGTTTGTTCTTGTTTTTATCGTTATCAATAGTGTTGTTGTTGTTGTTGTTGTGGTTGATATTGTCATCTATTTGAATGCTGGATGATTTAAGATGGAAATAGTTGTTGGTTGTTGTGGTTGTTGCGGTAAGTGAAGTTGCGTTGGCAGCAGCAGTGGTGGTTGTTTGTCCAACGATGATTGAGCTGGTTGTCAGTGAACTTGTCGACGATGTGGAAACTGTTGTTGTTGTTGTCGTTGTTGTTGTAAGTGTGTGTGTGTGAGAGAGAGAGAGAGAGAGGGAGAGAGAAAGAAAGAGAGAAAGAGAGAGAGAGAGAAAGAGAGAGAGAGAGAGAGAGAGAGAGAGAGAGAGTGGTTGATCAATGATGATCAATGATAAGCATTGCATCTTTGCAAATGTGTGTGCATGGGTGCGTGTTAAAATTGTATATACATTTTATAGTTATTATTTTCAACTAATTAAATTTTTATTAAAACTTCTGAGAAAAAATTAATAAAAATTTTGACAGCATTCGAAGAAAGGTCATTTAGTTGTACGTGGCAGATCATACAGAAGTTAATACAAAAATTATTCGTGGAAGTCTTGCACGTCAACCAAAAATACACACACAACGCACACAAACACAACGCACACACACACACACACACACACAAACGAACACGCGCGCACACGCACACGCGCAAAACTGGTTGATAGAAATATAATTTTTCAATTCCAGAGAAAAACGAATTAATTATTTACAAGCATTTTCTTGAACATTCGTGAAAAAAATAAATGTAAGTGGAAAAAAATTATTTTCAGGATATTTTTGTATTCCCGTAAATAGCAACTTTTACTTTTGAGAAACATTTCCATAACTTATTCAAATGCTTTCTGGTTTTTGACAGATCAAAAAAATAAACAACAACAAATGGGTAGAAAACAATATCCTCATCATCATTCTCTTCCTCATCATCATTCTTATCACCACCATCACCATCATCGTCATCGTCGTCATCGTCATAGCCACAACAACAGCTACTACTACTACTACTACTACTACTACTACTACTACTAATACTACTACTACTAATAATAATAATAATAATACTACTACTGCAACTTTACAATTGAAAAAAGACAGCATCATCAGAAAGACATCCATCCCATGAATATTTTAAGGAAAATACGGTCATATAAACAGTACAATAAAAACATTACGATACATATGTATGTTACAATACAAATGATACGATGCAAACACTACGATACAAATGATACAATACAAAATACAAAACAAAATACAATACAAACAAAACCATACAAACATGAAACCATACTACAAACATTAC